GCTCAAGGGATTTGGCCTCTCTGCATTGTCAAATTGCAGGATGTTTCCGTCTCGTATTTCAGCCGGTCTGAATGTGACCAGGATCTCTTCCCGCGTAGCAGGGAAGTCTCCAAGGCCTGCCGACCGATATTTTTGTGAGACTCGCCGTGTGGCATGCGCGCCTGGCTGTCGTGTGAGTCCACCGGAAAAGCAGCAATCAAGAACGATCGTCACGGCCAATCCTTTCTGTGCCATCTTATGTAGCATCAGGGCCATCTCGAGATCGCGAATAAAGTTTCCTCCCCCAAAAACGTCACACGGCACAAGGCACTCGTCCGTGGCGTTTTCCCCTTTAAGCTCTGGAAAGATAGTCGTGGCGAGAGCCCCATGACCGGAATAATGGATGTAGACATGGTCACCTGGCCTGGCCGTCTCAGTTATATTGTGAAATGAATCCACAATGTTCCGGTAGGTTGCTTCCTTGTAGCTCCCGGCTCTTCTTTCTGTTGTAAAAAACCCCACGTCCTTTATTGCAGCATAAAACCAGCTGAAAGCGTTTTCAAAAAACTGGACTGTCCCACTGGAAGATTCTGGTGAAAGCAGCTGCGTGATGTTCGTCTCTGGAACCTTCATAGTGCCGGTGAGATATGCTCTCATTTGTGCGATATCTTCATTGCAACCGTGCAAGGGGTTGAAGGAAAGGGGGGCACCACGTGCATCAAAGCGCCGTGTGGTGTATTCCATCTGTGTATCTACCCCGATGAGGAGGGCGAATTTTTTCGGCCCCATTTGCAATGAAGTCGTCATCTTGATTTAGGCCAAATTGAGTATCCGAAAGGAGGGAATTGAATGGGGAGTGTTTTTCAGCAAGTTGAGTGCTGTCTGGGCTTGGGGTGAAAAAGCTTCCAGAGTTCGAACTGAAGTTGTTGCCCGCTTCATATATACGTTCGCTTGGTATGTTGGGCAGTGCTGGTGAAAATCTGTGCTCGTGTTTCTAACCATCCCAAAGATGCCGTTATCCAATCGATCTGTCGTCCGCCTCACATAATGGACGAGAAGAAAAAGTACGGTTCATCACCGCATTGAATTGAGGCTCTACAGATATGAAAATAAAGAACAACTGTTGTATCAACTTCATGCTACGACTGAGATCAGAGAGGGCTGCATCCCAAAGATGACATGAACGGCAGAGCCTCATTTTCGTTGGTTGGTCTGTTTGATTGTGACCACAACCACTCCGATTTACACCGGCTCAAGACTTCTGTCCGCCTCACTTTCTGCGGTGTAACACCTACTGTCTCGGTGTTGTCTCTGCCTGAATTTGGCATTCAGGCCTTAGATGCGCGGAAGAAAATAACTTTTCCATGGAATCAATCAGAAACCTCATCGTCAGCTTATTCTCTACACTTTCTCACCCGTCTTTTTTAATTATCCCATAGAAAAGAACTTAAAAAGAGCCGCAATGTCGCACTTGGGCGCCTATGAAAACCGTAGTAAGATTCTTGGCGGTGTAACTTAACTTTTGGATAGGAAGAATGAACGGTATGGTGGGTAGCAATTATGCGCCGAAAGTATCGAGTCGATTGATAAACTCAGCCTCATCCCCGCAAAATTCATGCTTTATGCTGCCTCCTTAGAATTACTTATTTGTACCAAGTACGGTGCCCCCCTTCTCCAGCTACCTATCCTACCTCAAGCTCTGTGTACTCCGTAGTTGTTACGGAAATAGACAAATACGTTAAAATGCATAGTATATAAAAGATCTGCTTATCTGCTATGCTTACGTTTGATTTTATCATGCGACGCTGACCGCGTAAGCAGAATACACACAAGAACAACACATTTTATTTCAAATATGACGTGTAAAGATAGTACGGGTAGTAATGCATGTTACCAATAAGACTACAGCGATATCTTTCGACGCTATATTGTTGTTTAAGGCATGGCTGCATGCTCAAATGCACTCTCCGCACTAGATGGCGCAACCATTAGGCACCAATGCAGACGACATGATTATTGTCCAATCATATTAGTTTTGCAGCCCGACGGTATGCCTCTGTCACTCGAGGCTGATATCTTGTTCGTCGAAATGGCTGCATGCATTGCCCGCCATTCAGGTTCTGGGCTGGGCTATTAGAATTACCACGACCGTAGCAGCAACCACAGACGGTTAGATTCAGCATGTGTTTTTCTTATCTTAGCTTAGACTTAGAACTATGTCGACTAGTACGCAGAGTATGATTGTACTACTCCGTATGTTCCATGCCGTATTTCCATGGTTGTCTTTGAAGCGCTGTCGTTAACCCCGTCATTAGCCGTGCTCGTGAGCACTATACCTTCCCCTATTGCACGCTGCCCTCCCCGGACTTAAGGGCAAGAGCATCTAGCAGACTGCATATTAGACGTGCCGAGGGGCAGTGCATCAAAGGGCCTACGAAACCCTTATTCCGAGATATTTCGACAACCGCAACGACTAGTAGCAACGGACTAAGGCAATACGTGACTAGCTTACGTAAATGCACTGCCAGATAGACCAACCGATCCATTATTTCATTAGGCGGCAGATAGAGGATTCTTATATACGTAATTTCCGACGGGGAAGCAAGTCTAAGACCTGTATCGTCAATATGTCAGGCCGTGTATAAATACAACTACGAATCTAGAGGGGCTGATATCCGACATTCGACAGCAGTACTATAGGCTAGGTTACAGAGACTTACCTACGAGTAGGGCCAGTGCCCTTAGAGTGGGATCGGGCTACCAACTTAACCAAACGGCTGACGAGTCTTTGTGCGGCTAAAGATAGAGCTTTTGGAGATGTTATCAACTATAATCCACACTTTTTTAGAGGCAATAATTCAGTGAGGGATCCCGTTGCAGGAAATTGAGATTCAGGTTCTAAGCTGTACCCATCGCTAACTACAAAGAAGTTGTCCAACTTTGACACTGCACAGGATCTTGGGACACAAAAACTACAGATCCTAAGCTACTGAGTAAGACTCGAAGAAGACCGTCCCGAGTCGAACCAGCTAGACCCTTACCTTTAGAAAGCCCTATATTTTAATATCAGACTCGCTGTCTTGCGCTACAGAAGGAAAAAGTAAATCTGAATACTTGCCGAGATAAGAGACGATTCTAGACAATATACCTCATATCAATTCCTCGCCGCTATCAGAGGCCTAGCAGGTCAGCACCGACCCTGACGTTGGCGCTAAATACCTTTGCACCAGCCAGCGCTAGCACTGTGTTGTGTCCGGTTATCAAAGGTGAAATTGATGATCTTAATTCAAATGGCACAACATTTTGTCAAGAACTTGGAGTTATAGATGTTAACAATACTACTCCGTATACATCAAACTAATAGTACGGATACACGACCCAGCCCGATTCTTATTACATCTAAGACTTTTAGATATCAAATATCACAGAAGCCAAGTTTGTTAATCATTGAGCAACACTACACTGTAGTTTCCCACCTGTTTCCGCAGGTATCATTTTAATATCTGTGACAAACTACTTCTTCAGTAGTCAGATTTCTCTCACAGATAACGGACGGCATAATATACTAGTCAAGAATATAGCAGAAGAACTTTACCGGCTGTTGTCTGAAAGTTATATTCTGAAAAAATAGCATCATCGTCGTCTGGTGCGACCTGGCCTTGCCAGATGGATCTCATCCGCGCGATCGAAACGATTTCTGGGCCCTGACGGATCATATGGTGGTATAAGACGCCCTGTATCTCTCTGTCTCGGTTCGTGATGGTACGGGTAACCTTGGCTGCTCCAGCGCCTTGGCCTGGAATATTTCCCCTTATATTATGAAGGTGATAATCGTAGTTCATTGTTGGGAACTCATAAAGACTTTGGCCACTGGGAAAGTGCTTCTCTAGATCTCTGTAATGCTTTGGGTACCGCTTACCCGAGCGTCCAGGTCTGATGGGAGGTGCAGCCTGCATATGGCGCTCTACGCTGGAATATCGACGCTCATGCACACCTGCACCAGCCTCTTGGTGACGTTGCAGACGGTAGGCCTAGGTGACAGGTCGAACGTTGGATTAATATCGTTTTTGGAGGACGATGGTACAACCAAGAAGTAGATAATACTCACATCTGGGTGCATAGTCTGCTCCGAAAGTTCGTTGCCGGAGAGGCAGCACCCCATCATGGAAAGAAGCAAAAGCGTTGTTATTATAAACAAGAGTTGTGAAATCTTTGGCAAAACGAAACAGAAAAAGGCAAAAAGAGCAGCAGCCAGGTATAGTGAGTTTCCTGACGTCCCAGGGCATGGAAATGGCCATTGAAGGCTTTACATACACATTACGAGTGGCTTTAATTGCTGTATTTTGCAAGGTACATTTCTGTTGCTCGTACGAAGAGAAAGGACCAGGCTGGACCTTTTCACGGCGAGCCGCTTCATGGGTCAACTGATGGCGAACCTGAGGAGCGGCTACAGAAGAGGCCCCCCTCTGTCTTACTATGTTTTACTTCAGGGAGCGGTGCACGAGAACGACGTCTTATCATTAAATAGGCCAACGATCGTAGGTCCCGTTACCGCGACCGAAGGATTGGTGAGGATGTACTGTAGCGAACTAGAAGTGGTAGTTGAGGTAAGTTCTAGGGCTATTTCGGGAGCATTTCAAAAAAAAAAAAAAAAAAAAAAGCCGTGGTCCAAATGGAATCATGGCGTTAATGGCTCTGTTTGCCAGCCATAGAGAAGCAAAGTTCAGTTGGTGGTTGCCTCTAATGTATTGGATGGTGGGAAATCAAGCGGGGCACAGCTGACTAACTGCACACAGACGGTGGGGCAGTACCCACCTACACGCCCTTCTTGTCCTTTTGATTTGTCGTTTATTTTTATATCTCCTTTAAGAAAGCGCTTCTCTCCAGCACAAGGTAGCCTTTCCACCTCAGCCGCGGTATCTCGGTTCCTTTCTCCCCCATTTCAATTTTCCTTTTATTTTATCAATCTTTATGTTACTCTTAGTTTTTTGTCTTTTTTCCCTCTGCATCAACCCTTCAGCATGTCCGCACTCAATCCAAGTGTAGACCTCGTCGACAATGCAGCAGCCTATAACGCTGCCATTGCTGACGCGGAAGCAGAAAAGAAGAAGAACCGCGGCTCGTAGTTCGTAGCGCTCCTATGAAAACAACATAAACTCATTCCACGGCAAACTTTTAAAGGCGGCACCGAATATTCAGATGTCAAGGTGGCGTCGATCCTACGCGACTTTTTGCAGCCGGACTGCAAATTGCCTCCCAGTCAGGTGGTGACGTCAATCTTGGAGCTAATACCTACAGATGCATCTGAATATGGCGAGGTTTGCGGATTTGGCCAGATTTGCGTTGAGCTCGCTGAGCAAATCCCCTACTACCACCCATCGCAGCTTAAGCTTGTTAAGCTCCTTCAAGAGCTTGGACAGTCCTCCAAGTTCAAGTCCAAGTATCCGCTCTAGGTTTGTTTTTCTGTATTACTGGACCTTGGTAGAACTTTACTTACTTTTTATACACGTGTTAGAACTCTAGAGATACGATTTACCAATCGTTTCAACTTTTGGGAGAGTCTATTAGTGACGTGTCAGGTATGTCTGTTTTATGAATGGCTTGCCTCCTCTCTAAAATTAACCTGGCGTCTTTTCAGGGCCAGATAAAGAGTGCCCCAACGAATGGGTTAATATCAACGCTTTTGAGGCCAATTTATTTGCGTCGGGCATTTGGGGCTTTACGTCCGGTCCGTCTTTTACCGTGATGCGTCATGTTTTTGAGACACGGAAACGAGATGAGGAGGCCTGGGAGAGAGACGCAGAGATCATGGCAGCGGCTCAGTGGATCCTCTGGCACGGCCAGACCATGTTCAAGTTCATCATCTACAATGACGACAGCAGTAAAGACGATGCGCGTAACAAAAACCATGGATTATACAAAGTCGGCGATGACCTTGGTGGTACTGAGACCTTTCTGCCACGTTCCGTTGAGCGGTGGCGCTACTGGAAGGCGCGCTTTGAAGCAGTTGATAACTTGCCGGCTACAGATGAGTGCAAAACGCTCGCCGCACGCTCAGCCCGGATGATGGGCGCTTTGGAGGATAACATGTTGTTTTAAATAGTAGGCGGAAGAATTTAGACCGTTTTTCTTGGCAGGATGACTGATAAATATTTTCTTGATAACTTGAAAACTGTTGCTCTGGATGCTAGTGTTGACTCTTTTAAGTATTCAGGAAACTAATGATACTGTCCTTCCTGGCGTTGCAATACACAATTGAAACTCTTTTCTCCGCTGTACAGTCTAGACGGCCGTGCAGCTAGTGAAAGACGTCAGTGGATTCAGTACACAATTCAGTTGTCAGTGGTCAGAATTAAGTGGTCAGAATAAATGAATACTAAGTCAACTTACCATCCACCTACTTCTTGTGCACCCTTAGACAGCGATAATGGCGACATGGGAGCTTGTGTGCAGTCCGATAGCCATCGGTAGAAACAATGGAACGTGAGACAGACAACAAGCATATAGATAGCTTTTCTCGTAAGAAAGACGCTAGAAGAAAACCACGTAGATGCCCCGTATAATAGGCCGGCTTAGTGGTTTTTTTTGTCTTTATTGCGCTGTCGGCAATTTAATCTGAAGATAATCGCTGGACTTACAGAGTAGACACATGCAAAAAATACAAGAACGCAATGCAAAGTATACAAACTAAACTCAAACAGACGAAACACTAAAAAAGATAAAAAAGTTCAAGTCACAATGCACGTTTTTTATGGAAGAGAAAGGTATAATTAGGTTACAACATCTGTGTAGCCAACAGCAAGCTGAAACGGCTCTCAGCAGCACGTGCCCGTTCACGTGCCGAATTCTTCCATCTTATGTTTTCGATGCGTTTCGCCGTTTTCCCACGCGCCCGTCTGACGGATAGGCAACACGATGTATCCGTCCATGACAGCGCCCCAGAAGCAGCGCCGCCAGGCGACGGCCTGTGACTATTGCCGCTCGCACAAGGTCAAGTGCGACGCCGAGCAGCCGTCCTGTCGGAATTGCGTGCGTCGCGGCATCGAATGCGTCACCGTGAACCTGCGCAATCCCGGCCTCGACGGAACACGCCAGCTCCCGCTGGGACGAAGGCGAAAGGATGCTCCGAGGACGCTGGACAACAGCTCGGCCGTCTGGGGCGAACGGATCGACACGGCTGCCAGGCCGGCCGACGAGCCAGAAACGGTCAAGTATCCACCCTCACCCCTGCAGCCAGCAGAGCGCACGTTCGAAGCTCGGTCGCCCAGCAGCATCCTGCCTGGCGTCTTTACCAGTCCGTTCCACGAGGACACGCGCGACCCGACCGCAAGCGTGTCCCGGACAGGTTCGCCCAGCACCCGGTCGCTCAACAACAGCACCCCCAGCTTGCCACTGCTGGCAGACAAGAACGGCTTCCGGGCTCAGGCCGTCGGCAGCGGCAGCAGCCTCTGTTTCCTGGTGCAGTGGCTGGACCTGTACTTCTCGCAGTGTCCCACCTGGACGCCCATCTTGCCGTTCATCCAGCAAGGCCTGGCATACTCGATGGAAGTTCCGCTGCCCTTTTCCGTTGGGCCACCCCTGTTGCCATCCAGCGAGACGGCCAAAAAGTACACCGCCCTGTTCTTCTCCCGAGTTCACCCGGTCTTCCCCGTCATCAACCGGGATGCTTTTGAGGCGTCGCTGGACGTCCTCCGTGCAAAGGTCGCCTGTGTACCGATGAGCCTGGAGTCTCGTGACTATCCTCTGCTGGCCTGTGCATATGCCGTCTTCAGTGCAGCTGCGGACGAAGAAGCTAGCGCGGTGTCTCCAGAGGGCACAAAGTACTTGCAGGGAGCGTACCTTTTATATGGTCAACTCGTTGCCACGCCACACTATACTTCTGTGCAGGCGCTTCTGCTGCTCACGTTGATCCTCTACAACCGCAGCAAGAATGGTGCTAGTTGGGGCACTCTGAGTCAGGCAGTCCGCATCGCCCAGTCCATTGGCCTTCATCGACATGTCCCTCCGTCCGGCTCTGTGCCGGCGACCTTGCCGATGACACCTGGAAACGCAGCAGACGAAAACTTGTTTTCCCGAATCTGGTGGGCTGCATACACGCTGGAGCGCATGATGGAGCTGGAGAGTGGACGACCGTCGGCTATCTACGACGGCGAGTGCAATCAGATCATTCCGACCGTCACGGCTGGCACGCTGGCTCCCGGGTGCTCGTTTGATTACTTTCGTGCCCTCGTTCAGTTGTCACAGATCCAGTCCCGCGCCATCGTTCTCCTCCACAGCAACAAAACACAGCGCAAGTCCTTCCGACTAATGTTGCGCGAGCAGGGACGGATCGACCGTGCCCTTGTGGACTGGACCGAAGGCTTTCCAGAGTCGATTAGGTTTGTGTTTCTATTAGCCAGGAAAATCTCTCTCTTTTTCCTTTTCTTTTCTTCCCATTTCTGACAAAAACGAGACCTGGCCGAGATATATTCTGTGGCGCCGGTGAGCTACACTTGGCTACCTACGTCTCTCTTCGTTACCATCAGACGTAAGTCTTATCGTTGTAAAGCTCTGCGTGGCCGATGGACGCCCACTAACATAGGTGTAAAGGATGATTGCCCTGCACCGGCCGGCACTAGTGTCTTCTCCCGGCTTTCTGCGCAACCGCATCAACGAGTACTGCGCCGGAACTCCTTGGCGAGACCGGCTGCACTTCAGCCTATGCATCGGCGTGGCGTCGGCACGTGCCATGCTCAAGGCCTACAACGATCTGCTGATGTATGTCGGCCCGACGCGTCTCATCACCGCCAATCAGATCCTCCTGGCCACTCTTGTTCTGGGCATCTATATAACAAAGAACCCGCTGAGCCGTTTGAAAAACTCCGACCTAGCGGTATGTCTGTTCCTCTCCATGTTTGATGCCATCCAAGCTGATAGTCAGATGCTTTCGACATTCTCTGAGAGCATTGAAGAGGAGTACGTGATGATGGGCCAGGACTTGGAGTTTGCAAAGGGCATGCAGACTCTCCGACAGCAACTTAGCGACAACATCGGCAGCCACCGACCGGGTCCCCTTGGTATCGACCAAGTCGCAGAGGCTGCAATCCAACCGAAGGGGGTGGAGATGGACTCGCTATTGCCTGGATTTGACTTCAACACTACTGTGGACTTCAACACTGGCCTTGCCAATCTAGAAGACTCCTGGTCGCATTTGTGGAACGAAGACTTTGGCGGATGGACGTACAGCAATGACGAGCAGGATACGACAAATATGTATGTGTTGGGCCTCCCACAGTCATGGACATAAGACCGGACTGGCTAGAGGTTTAGTTTGGTAGGAGAGCTTCGTTCTAGAAGCGGTCAGTACTTCTCAGCACCAGTTTAGGTACAAGTTCGTCGGGGTAAGCACTTGTAGGCTTTGGTGAGCTCAACAGCGTACTCTGGAGTAACACGATGCAAGAAGAAGAAAGTACGTAAACAACATTGTGCTATTCGAAAAAGTGTGATACAGACGAGAAGGCTTGTAAAGAACGAACGAGAAGCATTGAAGTTTGATGACGTGCAGTCTATATCGGCCAAACTGCTTGACATGTGAGAACTGGGAGTTCTGCTCCTACCGGATGTCCTTGGACTCGACGATGACAGACACAACATCTGCCACCTCGGCAAGAGAAACCTGCGGTCTGTCAGCTGAAAAGTATGCTTCTAACGGCAAGAGGGATAACGTACCCGAACAAGCTCCTCAGCCGTGGCACCGGGAATGTCACGGTCGCCAATGGCATCACGGACGGCGTAGACGTCGTATCCAAGCTCGGCAGCCACGCGAATCGTGGCAGACACACAGTTGTGGGCCATGTAGCCTGGGCTGTCAGCACTGGATGTCCAGTATGGACAGTGGAGTGGCACCCTACCGACGACAGACAGCTTCTTCTTGCCTGTCTTTACCAGAAGCTCCTGCAGGTTAGTGCCGGTAAAAGCGCTTGCGTGGGTCTTATGCACCACCTGCTCGTCCTCGGCCGGCTCAAGCCCGTCTAGGATCGCAGCTAGAGGCGTGCCGGGCGTGAAGATGGGTGCTCCCTCAGGCACGTCCATGACGACGTGGATGACGCTGCTGCCAGCCTTACGGTAGCGGTTCAGCAGCGCCTTGATGGCCGTGTTGGTCTCTTCTAGACGGGCAACCTTCAAAAGGCCGGCGGCATACTCGTTCTGGGCGTCAATGATGAGGAGAATCGAGTCATCGATCGTCGGTGGCGTTGAGGGCGCACCGAGAATAGAGCGTATAGTCTGGACAGACATTATGTGGTAGAGAAAAGGATGGTGGCAAAAGGTAGATGGCTGAAGTACAAACAGTAGCGAGTGGTATGATAGCAGACTATGCGTTTAGAGTATGGATGTAGACGATGAGATGGGTGCAAAGAGAAAATGTGCCTTCCCAGATCAAATAGACAAATATTAATACAAGAACAGCCTACTTGGACATGCCACCGAGCCGATACCACGATTTCGGTTGGGACATCGGCTGGGACATCGGGTCGGACAAGGAGCACTGACAACTCCACCGAAACTCCGCCGATCGCTCTGTCTTCTGCAGCAACATGTTGCCATTCCCAGCTCATGCCAATTGGGCTCGGGCGGACTCTAAAGTAATCAAGCCCTTCTGCTCCTTTGTGCGCCATTGCATAGCCCGCAGGATCCCATACAGAACCGTCAAAGTCGGCGCAGGAACGCCGAGCTTCCGAGCCGTCCGAAGTGGCTCGCCCACAATGTTCTCAAACTCGGTATAGTTTCCCTACAGTCAGACAGTTAGCAACCGACACGACCGATTGCGCCACCCACCTGCACTCGTCACCTTTTCCACGTCTTGCTGCATGCTCGGCTTGAAGTAGATCTCGATCGGCTCAGCCTCGATGATCTCTTCGACGAGTTCCAACGGCAGCACATGGCCCTGGGCCTTGGCAATGGCCACAATCTCCAGCATAGCCGGTCGCAGCAGCTCCACGACGGGCGACCGGGCCAGGCGGAGACGCCCCGAGTCCAGCAGCGTCACGGCCGCAATCGAGTTGTAGCAGGCATTGTAGATCAGCTTCCGCCACCGCGTCCAGGCGACCTCTTGCGCTGTCGCGCCAAACTCCACCACCACCTTGCCCGAGGCCCCGTACATGGTGGCAAATCGTTGCGCCGTGGCCGTCTGCAGCTCCGCCGGCAGGTTCGCGTTGTCAAACGGGCCAATGTGCAGCCGGTCCCGGTCGTTGTGCACGATCACGCCGTGACTCGTCTCGGCCGCGCCGATGCGCGAAACGCCCGAGATGACGACATTTTGCGGAAATGCCGCGATCACCGGCACCTCGATGTTCAGTCCGTTCTGCAGCAGCACAATGGCCGTGTGGCCAGCCGTCACGGCTGGCGCGATAATGTCCACCACCGTCGGCGACACGTCCGCTACGTTCTTCGTCGACACCACCACAAAGTCAAATGGGACAACACCCTCATCCGACACGTCTGGGACCTGGCTGACGACTGCTCAAGTTAGCGTTGTGGCTCACGGCCGGCGGAACTGGCTCGACACCCACTCTTTTTCGGCTTCCACGCCTTCACCTCGCCGTGGTCGATCGACGAGATATCGAAGCCCTTTTCGCTGACCGTGCTGAAGTTGGACCGCAGCACAGCCGTGACTTCGGCCAGGCCTCCCGATTCGAGCGCGTAGGCGCCCATCGTCCCGACGCCTCCGCTTCCCACCAGAAGCACGTTTGCCTTGCTACTGATTGCCATCGTATCTGTCCGCAACAATACTTCTGGACTGCCGGTTTTATGGAATACAGTAACGATACAGTTGGCGCTTAAATACACCAGAGAAAGAAGACAGCAGAAAGCACGACCATATAATGCGCGGATAATCGCAATCTCCGACAGACTCGGCTCTGCGCAGCAAGTTGCAAAAGTCCTTGAAAACCGGCCCGGTCCACAAAAACGTTATCGTTGTTAGGGCCGTTCTCGGACGCCTCTATTCGGCGCTTCTTTTGCTCCTGTGCTGACAGTACTACAGGCCATCAACTGTATGTCCAATAACCAACAATACACACCGAGGCTTTTCAGGTTACCCATGCCTTACCAGCCTTTTGTTCTGCTCGCTAAAGTTTGGCAATTATAGCTACTTGCTTGCCTATTTAGCTATATCTAAGCAATTATATGAGACGGACCGGGGCTTTGACTTCGCTGGACCTGATCTGATCTAACCAAAGACCCAATCGTATCCGGTTTTTCTTCTTCATGGGGGCTTGCTGGAACGATCGTCACAGATACTGTAAACATGTTTGAGGTGCTACATTGTTTGCTTAAGCGGTCGGCACGAGGCTACGCTTGTTGGTAGCTGGCACGCAGTACAGAAACGAAGTGAAGCTCATGAGAACGTTCAAGAAAAAAAAAAGCAATTCTCTTTGTGTCTGCCCTTGACATTTAGGATATATTGTCGACAGCACGATTTATAATGGCGGTAGCTATGGCACCACCGAGCGGCTACAAGGTAGAAGTGGCCTCACTGGGCAGCATTTATGATAGACACTAAAGCAATTAGGGGATGTGTAAATGTATCGAACAAATCATGCTAGGGGCTAGGAGTGGGTGTGACATACCTATGCCCATTTGTACGTGTTTAGTTGTAAAAGCTACAAAAGGCCGCCATGTACCTAGGACTAATTGGTAAAATGAAATTAGTTGGTTATAGTCCTGCCTACCATGATGGAAGGTAGAATCCTACTTTGGCACATTGTGCAGGTGGATTGACTATTTTAATACCAACACCACCTGGTATAATGATCGATTGATATGGGGTATAGTTCGCTGATATGCAAACGAGTTAGTGGACACATACTTTTGTCTAGTCTAACGTGAATTGCTACATAGCAGCTATTACTGGGTAATCGGAACCAGAGACCCGGACCTGCACTACCTCTACCACTCCGGCACAAGTTTGTATGCGCAGGTTGCATGCCAAGGCGGCAACCTAGGACATCTGTCACCATACTAGTATCAAACTGACTTTGGGAAAAGTGGCAGAGGTAACAGTAGACAGTATCAAGTAATGCGGTAGATCCGATAGCATAAAAGAACATCGTCCACGCTTCTTATGCCCGTATGTTTGACTTCTAGGCATTGACCTGCCGATATTCTAGATACGTCCTGAAATATACCTTCATATATGTCTCCCTTTTCCGTACACGGAATCCGTGCGTCTATAATTTGTTTCAAAGTGACCTTGCTACGAGCAAGAGGCCAATAAAGTAGCTGTAGTTGATAGTAGAGCATTGGGAACTACGGCCAGCGACTAGAAGAAGGTACGCGATGCAGCAATGCACTATTTCGAGAGGGGAACACGCCGTTTTGACGGACAAAGAGCTTATAAGACGAAAAAAGTGGCGACTTGGGACTTTCTTGAGAACAGAGAGATTTGTCCCTAAGTAAAGATACACGTTTCTGACTTACACTTACACTTACCTAAAAGGCCCCGGAATACTTACGTCGTATATCGTCCATCTGTCGTTCGCGTAGCATCGGGTCAAGAAGCGGCTGACCTCTTGTTGCCAAAAAATAATCTTGCGGGTTTGCGTGCCGCACAGAGACATATGCCCAGTAATATGGTATCACCCAGCCGTCCCCATTCGACAATACCAACCACTTCGTCACCCGTCGCTGATATATTCGGGCTGCTAATGTCGCCGTGCGTCAAAACGACAGCGTGCCTTTCACAATGAAAGGTAAAAAGGTCGGCGAGGTCGGGGGGCCAATGCTCTGTCAGCTTCGCTATAGGTTTGCGTGTCGATGCCGTTTCGAAGCTCGGTGTAAAATTCAGAGACCGTCGTGAACGGACCCCATAACGACTTGGTCAGCCAGCGGCGATCGTCAATCGGCCCACCACTTGTACTAGCGACGCCCACATCATCCGGCGGTCTGACGTAGCGAAGCTCTTGTATAATACCGTGTAACTGCTTGAACTTCTGCGCCTTCGACGCGTCGGAACGGCGAGTCCATCCGCCTTGAAGCATTTCCCCGTCTATACGCTTCATCACAATGTATGCTCGGCCAGCGCGCTCAAAAGCACAGTATATCTTGGGGACTGGAATCGACGTGCGCAACGCCACTAGCTGCATCGTGTGCGCCTCGTTCAGCCGAGAGTAAACAGACCGCATTTGATGCAAAACTTGAATACAAACAGTGCGTCGCTGGGGTGGTTCCAGATCCGACGTAGACAAGGTAACGTCTCTACCCAGACTGCGAAAGTGTCAGCGTGCGTCCTCACCAAGCTTCGGAGCCTCTTTAAACGTGTGTCATCTTGCTCAGCGAGGCAAGTAAGCGAGACTCACTCTGGGCCGCTAAAATAAATATATTCACTTCTGAAAATAAGGCGCAGTGGTAAGCGAAAGTGCAGCGCATTTCTCTGCACGTGATCATGCGAGCCGCGGCAACGTCCCTTTACGAGTAAAGCAAAAGTGATTACTTTATTGTGCACTGTACTTACTGCGACGTAGCAGTCGTGACTCAACGGAGGAATCTGCTCCAGAATACCAGTCGACATGCCTTCCTATGTCTCAACGTACTCAGTAGACATGATGTTTATACGTAAAAGAAAAAGAGGGGTGTAAGCGGGGTGTACGTCACGTGATATGGCCTCATCTTCGGATCTGCAAATTCCGTGCTTCAGAAATGACGGTCCTTCCCACCTTGACCCCTCTTCTCCTGTGCATTAGTAGACAAACTGTACACAGGATTTCGAAATTTCACAAGACGACAGCATAAAATCCGTTTTTCCATACTCACCACTGCTTTCGCGCAAAACCCGGTTTGCTTCAGCTCCAACATGTCGGACAAGGTCCAACACATTAGCTCGCTCGCCGAGCTCAACGCGCTCTTCGCATCCACCACCTACGTCGCCATTGATTTCACGGCCACCTGGTGCGGTCCTTGCAAAAGCATTGCACCCATCTACTCCGGCCTCTCTACCAAGCACAGCATCCCCAACGTCCTTGCTTTTGCCAAGGTCGACGTCGATGCGGCCCAGGATGTCGCCGCCAAGTACGGCATCTCGGCCATGCCGACCTTTCTCTTTTTCAAGGACGGCAAGCAGGTTGGCGTGAACGGACAGCCCTCTATCCGTGGCGCTGACCCGCGTGGTCTGAGTGCCGCCGCCGAGAAGCTCGCCAGCCTGGCAAAGGCCAAGGCTGGCCAGTCGTAAAGTGAACCGGCTTAATGACTCGATGACTTATCGTATACTACTCATATGCCATCACAATTCTACATATGCAAGGAGTTTGGGGTCCCAGCTGTCTGGTGCTAGGATATAGCTACAAAGCAAAATACACACGAAGCGCTTAAAAGAAAAGATTTTCCGTTTTAACTTTCGTTCTATCGGTGTTATATGTTGCAGGTTTTAGGCGTTGACATACAGTGCATTATAAGAAATAGTGTATGCGGGAACGGATAGTTTCTGATAAGGGAAACGTCTTCTAGCAGATTTAGGTATACCCTCTACGTTACCTGGGGTGGGTGAGCATCTTGCAAGTGTACCTTGACATCAGTTTACGCGTTTTTTTCTGAAGCCTCTAAACATACACGTTCCGATTGCTACTCGATGGATAACTAGGTTATATAATTTCCGAAAAAAAAAACCCCCCATGATGGCCGTTATGATGGAGATAGTATATAGTGTGGAGCGTACGGGCTGGACCGCAAGTCACGGTTGAAGCGTGAGTTGGACCGCTACAGTCAACTGGAGAGAGCATTAATTTCTAAAGCCGCTTTAAAAACACAACAGAATGTTCACAGTTGCTCAAAATCTTTGGGCAACTCCGAGCCACTGACCCAGGCCTGAACACCGGCGGCGAATAAGACAGGGAGTTGTATGTGCCACGGGTGATAGCCCTCACGGACGACAACGGCCTTGTTCTCGACACCAGTCTTGGCCGACTCCTTCAGCACCAGCCCCATTCCAGCAATTGCGTCTACCTGGTCCATCTTGCCCCCGGCGATGACAAGTGTTCTCACCCCAGACTCGGCCACAGCGCGCACGTCGTCCATGCAGAAATTGCTGAGCTCCTGAACCATGACCTTGAATCTATCCCATGAAGCGTTCTTCTCCGTTTCCGCAATCCACTCCTCGTTGTCGATGCCTTGCTTGCGAAACATCATCGCCGTGAGTCCGGGGATCTCGATGTTCTCGAGAAACCAAACGAGCCTCGGTCGTGACATTGCCCACTTGAACATCCCCGTGTACGGATACGCGCCGGTGGAAAACAGGGAGAGGACGCCATCGGGATGTCTCGGCGCAAGTTTCAAGGCCACGAACCCGCCGAAGGAAAAGCCGACCACGTGTGCTTTTCCGCCGCGTGCATGCTCTCGAATCATCTTTTCCGTTTCGTCCGCCGCGGCCTCCAAAGTATACGACTTCAGTTCCTCAGAGCCTGAATGTCCTGGCAAATCTACCAAGATAAGGTGGTAAGAAGCCAGAGACTCTTGCTTGGCGACGACTTTCCATTCCACGTGACTGCCTGCCCCACCATGGAGGAAGATGATGCTCGTGTGTTGGTCGGTGTTGCGCTCTTCTAGAAACAGCATCTTCACGCAAAGGCGAGAATAATGTTTCGATTGTGTGTTGCTGAAGAGAGCATGTTTGCGAATGTGACGACCGTTTACGCTGTTACATCGCATAAGCACGGTCGCGGAGAAACTGCGTGCCGTGCTGAACGTCTGACACCGACAAAAACCGCATCCAACGCAGTACAAGGAACAATCGTCAAGATATGATACGAGACATGGGAAATCTCCAAACGGTGATTGGCCACTTGGACTTGTCAATGAGTACAACTTTCAGCATAGATTACTGCAGAGACTAGCGATAACCATGAAATTCGTAAGCAGATGGACGATGTGCAAACATGTCCTGAATGATGCGGTCTATTTGGGAGCGAAAAATTACAAAACAATAAACCCTTAAACAACCGGTGGGTGGGTGAGGAAAGCAGCCAAACTAAATCAAAAGAAATATCACGCTGAGTCTTTTGCTTTTCCCCATCTAATGCAAGCCGCTCGTGCGGGTTTCGGCCATGTACTTTTGACATTGGACCAGGATGCGGACCTGGTCGCCCACCTCGCCAAGGCGGTCGATCACCTTGCGGTTGCCGTCAACAAAGTTGAAGATGGTGTAAGGAACGCCAGTCTCGCGCGAGAAGGCCAGGCCGAGCTCCTGCACGCGGCGCAGGTTGTGGCGCGGCACGCGGGGAAACAGATGGTGAACAGCCTGGAACTGCAGGCCACCGTGGATAAAATCGAGCCAGGCCGGGCAGTCGACGTCCATGGTGGTGCGCAGCTGGCGCTGGGCAAAGGACTCAGACTCGCCGAGCTCAGATGTCGACATACCCCAGTGGGACAGCGTGATCTGAATGTGCAACGGCATAGTAACTATGTGCGAGACGAGAACGAAGGCAACGCGGACCGGCCAGTTCGGCAGCGTGCGCCACACCAAGCAGTAGCCAAAGAGGAACCAGAAGCAGGTCATGAAGACGATCTCGGTCCACCGAATCCACCAGGCCTTGGTGTTGCCGAGCGCAGATGCCTTGGACGACAGGACGTGCAGCCAGGAGAGAAAGTAGAGATTGAAACGAGCAACGCCCATGATGGGATAGTACGTGTAGCTCTGGTACGGGACCAAGAAGTTGGCCACGGCATCCCAGGCAAATGTGAAGTCGTAGTATGTCGAGTAGACGGACCTGAAGAACGATGGGCAGGTGGCAAAAAGCGGCACGTTCTGGATGTCCGGATCGTGTTCCGGGTGGTTCGTGATGAGATGATGGACGTTATGGCTGCGCTTCCACCAGCCGATGGACAGCCCGCAGCAGAAGTCAGCGACAAAGAGGCCGATCAACGTGTCAACGACAAAATTCTGGGTGATTGCTCGGTGTCCAGCATCGTGCGCAGTAAACATAATTTGGTGCTGTTGAATACGAGGTCAATATCCACCTGAAACGGGAAGCGAGCAAGGAAGGCGAAAGGTGAAATGGAGAGAACCTACCCAAAAAAGTCCCAGGAAGACAGCAGAGGTTATGTACCAGCTGTAGTGCAGGGCAACGAGGAAGAGAGCGAACAGACTGGTGTACCGGACCATTTCTTTGCCGTATTCGATGTACCTGCACTCGTAGAGGCCCTCGTCGATGACCTGTTGGTGCATGAGCCGGTATTTGCGCACAATGTCCTGCTGCACCAGGGGGTCTAGAGACGGGTAGTCGCGGAGGCCCTGTTCGATCTCTTGCTGCACGGCCCAGTCGGTGTATTTCTCAGGCGTCATAAGGATGGTGGGGATGTCTCCCGCCCTCCCACCGCCAGCGAGCAGACCGGTCTTTTCGTCGGCATCGTCAAGGCCGGCTACCTTTTCGGGATCGGGCGTGCCGGGGCTCCGAATAGCCGCGACAGGCTTACGGGCAAGACAGGGACTGAGGTCAATGACGTGGTCACACCCAGTGGATGCACCGTCATCGGATAGAGCCGCATCGAGAACGTGGAGGGTGGGACTGTCATCGCCTAGTGAGATGCTGGGCCGGCGGTAGATGCCTCCTCTTATTGGTGGTGTCATGTTGGCCCAGGGTCCCATTGGCTTCCGGCCTATCCGGTAGGCTTTCATCGTGCTGATTGTCCCAGCAAAATGGTACCTGCAGATTTAGTGTCAGCACCCCATTCAAAATGTACCTCGTCTTATTCAGGCACAGGATGGGCAAAAAAGGAAAGCGGCTAGAAAGCTAGGGGGAGGACATTCAATGACTTGTCACGGCTGTTGCCGTGGATCTTGAAACTTAATCGCAGTGCACAGTTCCTACCTAGTCAAAATGGTCCCTCCCGTCCTACCTCCCTTTTGCTTTTGTCTTTGTTCTCAATCTCATCTTGGGCAGTGCAGCGACAGCGACGGAATGGGGCTCAATTGGGTAAGGGCACGAGGATGTGAGATTTTGTGGAAATTATTTACGCCATGATTTCGTCGGTTGCATCTTTGCCAACAACGTGCTGGATCGCCAGACGGCCACCAGGATGTTTGTCGGCCCACGAGTCGAGTCGCAGGACGTAATCTTCGAAGATGACAATAATGCCACCGTCTGCAATCATGCCCTCGACCGCTCGTGGCGACAGGATCTGGTCGCGGCTCGACATCTTGGCGATGCGAGGAAGGGAATCGGTAATCTGGATGGACGGATGCTCAATTGCCTGGTGAAGAACGGCTGTATTTGGTTCGTGAGAGTGAGCGCGCCTCGGATGTGCGATCGACAAACTTCGTTTACTGTTTATTTCGCAAACGAGTGAAAATATCCAGAAACCCGCCTGTTCCTGCTGGTATGTGGCGAGATAATGAGTGAAGTGAGCGATTTTGAATAGAAAATATGGTCGCCTGAGCAAAGAAAACGGTCCCGTCGATTCGGGTGTGACGCAGGTAGACAGCAGCAACAATGACAGTCTGACAAGATGGCGCCGAACTGAATCAGAACAGACTGGACGACAAGCTGGCTGTACTTGTACTGATGGTACGCAATGTGGATGCAGGCACGAAGAGGACAGGCCCCGGGAAATAGGAGACGTTCGCTTAGCTCGAGCAGTCAACAGCGATGGGGACAAGGAGCTATTCCAGTCCGAAGTCCAGACGACGCCAGCATGTGAATTGGCGGTCTTGCGGTCGTCAATGTCCGGCTTGCTTGGTTCGCAATACGAATACGCGACGACGCCGCTTCCTTGTATTATTTCCCGCTTTTTCCTCTTTTCCCTCTTTTTCCTCTTTCTCCCTCCTTGATTTTCTCCTTGTGGCCCCCCTTCGTTCCTTCCCCTTTTCCTTTCCTTCTTTCTCCTTTCTACTTCCGTCTTTTCCCCGTTCTAATCTCACCCCTTCCTGTTACTGTACGTCCCCTCGTTGTATCTGTCGCAAATGCATACTAGCCAACTGTCCTTATCCGTCCAATCCTGCTAGCTTCTCCGCGTTTATTAGGAAAATTCAAGAAAGAAGGGTCTAGGCTGGACGCACGCGCGTATTTTTTTTAATAAATAAAGGTGGGATGTGGCTTGGCTTTGTTGAGAAACGACGCGGCCACCTGTCAGTAGCAGTCTAACAGCCCTGTTGTTCACAATGCGCCTTGACAGGTAAGAAAGAGGGCAATGAAAAGGCAACGATTGGCAGTACTGTTCTTCCATGACTCATGATAGCAGTCTATCTGCTGTCTGTCAACAGATTGGTCTGTGGTGCCGTTGTCTACTTTCCCGTATGTATTTTTGATGCTTTTTTGCCCTCTGTATTTTCCTTGTATCTTACCTTCTATATCAAGAAATTCCCCTTGTCTGCATGATCAGCACAGGCTAGCTAGTCGGTACGGGGGCAATCAGGGGACGACACACACTAAAGGGGCTGTGAAATCTGAGGGGCTCCCTCTTCCCCCACTTAAATCTTGGTATGAAATACGTCTAGATGTGACGTACGACGTGCAACGTACGACGTGCACCCGGGCCGTACGACGTAGGCAGACACTGAATAAATCAAAGGTGCGTTACACGATACAACACGGGCTACGATACGGAGACAAAAGACGGCACGGCAAGTGTACGAGCACGTCTGCACCTACGCATTAAAGACGCTAATAGTCACGGAGACTCTTTGTAGCGGTCGGTCTAGGCAGCCATTTAAAAAGGCGGTACGGGGTACGAGTACGAGACATTTTACTCTGTACTCCGTATGCATACCTTGCTTGTATCTACATGCTTAACATTGTACGGTTCTGTGTCTTTTTAGAGGCGCCTACGGGGTGCTCCGTGCATTTCATGATGACTTTGGTGACGTGTTGACCGCTTCTTCCCTGTTTCCAGGCCAGATCCTCTCCATGGCCTGATCAACAAACCATGTTCTTGCAGCAATACAATCATCAGGCCCTGGCTATTGGAGAGAGCAGTGACCTACGGAGTATGCAGACAAGTCGTCGGCCGAAGGGGTAAGGGCACGGACCTTACTTTGGGCCCCCCTTTCAAATATTCCAGCTTAAGTACGGAGTACTCCGTATCACGTCGTAGTCTCAGCCATTTCTAGAGCTCATCTATTATGGGGTTGAAAAAGACCAGGTACCAGTTTGATATAAATTTTGCTTGATTGGGGTTTCAAATTCCCCACTTGTTTTTTTTACCTAATTGAGATTGTCAACCCCCTTTCCAAATCACTGTACATAGTAGAAGCACGTGGCCAGCGTTCATATTGATTCAAGTTACTAATACTCCGTACGTTCTCACGGAAATTTTGCGAAGAGCCTCGACTCTATCTTATCTGATTGTGCCGTTGGATTACGTACGAGTATGTACATACAAACAAACATAAACATGGCCTATTACGGAAATGTATTTGCACTAACTATCTTCCACTCCGTACCTGAATAATGCTTATTATGTCAGGATGCACGGAAAAGTTTTATTTTTACTTGACACGTGAAGTAGCGCGTGTACATAATGCTGCCCCAGACGCGAATTAGCACTAGAGCGCCACCTTTCAGCTGAGTAAATTTCTCGGAGGCGTCGTTGACGCGGACACTATCGTTTGGCCGGCATTACGGACTCGGCATTGGCAGTGCGAATGTAGCCCACATGTCCCCCGCAGCCAGATCATCCCTTTGCGGCATTCCAGGTGGACTGTTGCAGGAGGGCAATTGCGGCCGAACCTGTTAGTGGACTCCGGTTCATAACCGATCCATGTAACATTTTCCGGTCCCTGTCGCGAATGAGTAGGAAGCCGTCGGTGCTCATGACAAGAACAGCGGCCATTTTTATGCATCGCAACACGGACCTGATCTCGGTCCCGAGGGCCTACGGCATCCTGTAGTGGGCAAACTTGCGGCTATCGGTGCTTAAATCAATAACAATTACCGAGGCTTGCAGGGTCTTTGAATTCCTACGGAGCCATCGTAGCTGCGAACAACGATAGCCTTCTTGTCGGGGCGAGTGTCATTGCGAACCAGGGTACACGGTAAGGAGCACTCCGTACGGAGTACTCCGTAGCAAATACGAACAAAAGGCAGCACAAAACATTGAAGCTGCAAGATCAATGCGCTGAGCCCTGCGATGTGTCAAGTCTCCGTCTTGGCAAAGCTTTGTTACCTACGACGTATGCACATCCAACTGCTATCGGTCACGACCTCTAATTTCCGCTTGCTTCTCGTAAATGAGACGTACCATTGAAAGTTTTTCTATGCAAGCGGTCTGAGTAGGAAAATTCGACAATAGACGGGGAATTAGACAGAATAAACGGGGCAGAACTGCTACGGGCGAACCTTGACAAATTCCCACAGCGTGTTTTCGTCCTTCGTTGCAAAGATCCCAGTGCCATCAAATCGAGCGGCTACATACTTTTGAGTGAACCAGTCCAAGGTCTGAATCCAATAGTAGCCATCCGCATTTCTGGCAAAGAAGAAACTTTCCCGCCCTTTATGGTGCGGAGCTTTGGCACCGAAATTTCGCCGGCTGTCACGGCCTAGATACTTTTCTTCTGCCACATTCCTGAACCCTTTAAATCCATTATTTTTGGTGCAAAGCCACTACCAGTTTTTGTGAATGGTTTCCTCGGGGCGCATGGTACTAAGAAACTCAAGATACAGGTCACCGTCATCAGACGTCAGAACACGATTTCGAATCTTGTCAACAATGAGAAAAACGTCGTCGGCGCTAGGATCAGACCTGCGGGTGACGGTTAGTGACCCAAAGGGAACAATTGCATCTTGCTGACGATTGCTGCAAGAGGTTGTAATATTTGAGCAATCACCAACGACTGCGGCGGTTTGGGGAATGGGATAGTAGAAAATGTAGTCGATGATACAGAGAAGTGCTATACAAAATACAAGTAGCCCCTGAACAGTAGCGAAGTTGCAATCATTGGCTGCAGGCCAACTCATTGAAGACGATTCTGCAGCTGTCTTTCGCAGGGCCATATTGAGTCGCTAACAGGTCTCGAATGCTTTGGTGCTGGAAGTAGATGTGCTTGCGCCGTACCAGAAAACGAGTCGACAGAAGTTGTCTCGATGTCGAGTGCGCTCGGGAGGACGCTCTATCAGAACACGAGACTCACGGCTGTTCGGTTCAAACGCAGCTATCCGTTTTTGGAGTATCGAAAAGAATATCGCAGCAATGGTGGTGTAGTCGTTAACAGCTGTAACCGTCTCAATGAAGCAACTAGGATGGATTTAGCCAAGTGCAAGATTTTCTGAACAGGTTGCCCCTCTTTTCCCCGCTCAAACGTCGCTCAAAAGCGGCACAATAGTATTAGAGAGAAGAAGAAGTTTATTACTCCGTACTCGTAGCTTTCTGGCTTTCGGCCTAAATCCCCTTGTTGCCTCTCGTGGCACACTGCCAGTCATGGCACGTTTGAAGTTGATTCAAGGCTTTGTTTACAATTACACGTGTATACCCAAGACACTTTCAGCTTATGTAAAAGACCAAAGGTGCTTTGAACGACCAATTCTCTGCCATCTAATGGTCTACACGGAAAGCTGCAAACAAAAGGGATGTGCGGGAGTGCTTGTCTCGGTATAAAGTCCACCATAGACTTGAGATCCACGGTACGTCTATTGGCTGGTTTGATAGCCCAATCGGTGGCAGATAACCGTTTAGCTTATTTTCCCTGTACGAAGCCGTCGTGTTTTCTGCTGGAAATTGCTGCTCAACATCTACCACTGGATGTAGAGCTTCACGATGCCACTTGGGCGACTCAATATACCCCCGGATTTCCCGCCGGTGCATTCGTGTCGCCACTGTGACACTCTGATTCTCGATGCACTAGCGATACGGGAGATAGATGAGGGTGAGAGTGAGGATTCTATCCAGATCTTTGACGAAGATGGCGTCTCTATGCGTGGACCTGATATTCCATCGCTTTCTTTCGCCGAGGCTATGGAAGCGGCACGAATACAAGAGGCGAAAGCCGACTCGGACTCGGTCAATATTATCGAGTCCGACGAATGGACGCCATTCAGCCCGGATCTGACCACCGACGAAGTGCGGAGATGGGCAGAAGACGGCTGCCTATTCTGTGCTGAGCTCATATCATCCGAAGGAGTGGAAGAAAGCAGTGGCAATTCTACGATGGTCTACTGGATGACAAACGAACCGTACGAGAAGATGGGCATTATGGTCTTATTTGCGTCTCGGCAGGAAGACGGGTCCGTCAGCGATGCCTGGGGCTGTTTCAACCTGCTCACATTTCCAGGTACGTGCTATATTAGCTGGACGACGAGCATGCTGCTGGCTGACGAGATGCGCGGACTGAAGGCGGCGTTGCTTCACAGGTGATACCCCGGCATCCGATCAACACCGACCCGGCATCTGAGCAGTCATTTAAGCTCGTCAGAGGGTGGCTGCAGACCTGTCAGAGTAGCCATGAGGGCTGTCCGAAGGTGACATCAAAGTTCATGCCGACTCGAGTGATTGAGATTGTGGGCGATGGAGAGGACGGGATGCAGCTGCGGCTGCTAGAAACACGTGGGTTGATTGTCCAATATGTGGCCCTGAGCTATTGTTGGGGCGGGGAGCAGGAGCTGAAGACCACGGCTGCGGTACTGCCCCGGTTCAAGGAGAGTCTTCCGGCCTTTGCGAAGCTGCCAGCGACGATCCAAGACGCAGTAAGGGTGACGCACGAGCTGGGCCTGCGCCACCTGTTTGTCGATGCCTTTTGCATCGTGCAGGACGACGGCGACGACATGCAGCAGCAGATTGCGCAGATGCCCGCGATCTACAGCGAGGCGGTCGTGACCGTTATCGCGTCGAGAGCGGCGAGCGTGGCTGATGGGTTCTTGCAGAAGAGGCCGTCGTCGCTGCCAGACACAGACGAAGAACGCTACGAGGCTGCCTTCCAGCTGCCGATGCGATGCGCCGGAGGCGATCTGGACAGCGTCGTCCTGCTTCGGCTCGCCTACAAGGGCCTGACTACAGATCCGATCTACACGCGCGCGTGGACGATGCAGGAACAGCTGCTGGCAACGCGCATAATTGCCTATAACCACAACCACACACGCTGGGGCTGCTGGTCTGCCCACACGCCCACCGACGGCTGGATCCAGGCCGGAGGAGGCGACGATTTTGTCCAGGCATGGGAGCCGGCCGTCTTTCGGGCCCCGTCGCTGTCGTCTGGGCCGCCTGTCCGTCCGGATGTAGAAACCGTGCGGTATGGATGGCGTCGGCTGGTGATGCAGTACACGTCCCGGTCGCTGAGCTTTCCGGGCGACAAGCTGCCAGCTATTGCCGCGGCGGCTGTTCGTGTTGGTGAGGCCTTGCGCCAGGACGACTACGTTGCCGGACTCTGGAAGTCCAGCCTGATCCATGACCTGTTCTGGAAGACGGTGCAGACAACGCGACAGGTCCGGCCGAGAGAATTTCGGGCGCCGTCATGGTCTTGGGCCGCTGTGGACGGCGAGATTGACTATTTTGCACGCATCGTGGATCTGAAGTCAGCGACAGTCGAGGTCTTGGATTGCCGTGTCGAGCCGGCACATCAGATGCTGCCGTATGGCGCGGTCAAGGGCGGCTGCTTGGTCGTCCGGGGGCGATTGCGGCGTGTCGTCTTGCAGCTCGAAGCAACCGACAGAAATTTTTTTCATGCCACGGAGCCGGACCGAGAAGGATTGGAAGCTATGCTTCCGGTGTCTTTTGACGCGATCGAGCCGGAATTCGCAAACACTGCCGGAGATTCCATAGATGTTGCCCTTTTGGAGCTGCACGACGAAAGTTCGGGAGAACCAGTGAGCCTTGTCCTGCGTGATCTTGGTAACGATACGTTCTGTAGACTGGGTGTATCGTTTCGGTCTGCTATGGTGAGATTTCAGATCGGCGACAGTGTAGACGACGGTCGGGAACTGGCAAGATCGCATCTCGACTGGGTGAAAGGGTTTGAGAAGTGTGTCCCAACGACGATTACTATTGTGTAGAAGTGATGCACAATGTTTGGCATTTTCGATGACATTCATAGGAACAATCCAACTAGTCTAGTGGTTACAATGGTTCTAACATCCGGCCTTGTAGTCACGGGATGTTAAACAGATAGTTGTATATGTCGTGCCGCTTTGCTTATCCCGGACCAGATTCCCATTTTGGGACATTATTTCGGAGCTGGATTGCTTGCTACCACAAATCCACAGTTTCATAAACGCCTGGGGGTCCTCGTCATTGCGTATGACCATGTAGGTTGCATTGCCGGACACGATCGTGCCCTGAACAGGCTTCCAGTTCAGTGAGTCGGAAGGTGGGAGTACAGCGGCCGCTGCGGAAGTCAGTCACGTGATGGGTGAGGTTCATGGGGGGCCTCGACCAGTCGGCGTAGAAGCAGGCCGAGAGCAAGACGCAGTGCGTGGCCTCGACATCCTCGAGACCGATAGAGCCGTCACAAAATCCCTCTGGGACGGTCACAGCTAAATATGTGGTAGGAGCAGTCACTTTCTCACTGCGTGCAGAGATAGTTGCCCGTGCCAGTGGAAAGCATCAAGCCACAGCCGAATTGGTGATATACTGTTTCATACTAGCGGCTGCTAGGCTGCAGTCGTTGACTTAATGAAACTGTTTGTGTCTTGTTCGAACCACGAAAAATACGGTAAGGAAACCCTTTATTGAAATACATGTAAATTTTCATACAAATCAGCGGTAAAAGCACAATTCGATATCTGCTAAATGTAGTTTGGTCTGAAGGATGCGACGTAATAAATTATATCAACCACCGGGATACATTCAGTTGTAGAGTTGGATATAGACTAAACCAACGACAGAAATATCGACCGAAAGATCAAAGTCTGGCTGCTCCGTAGTTGTGGCTGGATGTCCGCCACATGAGTTAACCTGTGCGCATGGTTAGCAATGCTGGTATTAGGGAGCTGTTCGACATGGGGCCACCGAACAAGACTTACATCCTCCTCCTCCTCCACCACCACAGCCACCACCACCACCTCCACCTCCACCGCAGCCACCGCCACCACCGCCACCACCCCCACATCCACCACCCCCACATCCACCACCGCCGCTGGCACAGCCTGTACCTCCCGCAGCACCGCCGCAATTCTAGAAAGCCACAAGTTAGCCGAGAGGCAGCAATGAGAGATTCGACGGACTGATACTTACACCACATCCACCAGGTCCACCGCAAGCGCCAGCTGCAACGCCACTACCGCTACAGGTGCCACCAGCACAGCTTCCCCAGGTGCCCGAGCCGGTCGGCACACAGCCCGGATCGCCACCGTAGTACATTCCGGGAGTGAAGTAGCCCGGGTAGACGTAGGGAGAGTACACTGGCACGTGTCAGCAGTCTGCATGTTTCAGCAGGAGAGTTGGTCGCCTTACTAAAGTACGCGTAGCCCCAGTGGTCGTAGTACTCGTCGCGAGGCGGCAGCTTGCGGCCGCGCTTCTCGGCCCGTTTGACGGCCTTGTTGTAGTTCTGCTCGAGGCGGCGCATCTGGACGTCATGAGCTTTCCGCGCGACGGACGAGCTGACGGTATCAGCAAAGGTGACTGCGTTGTGGGCCGAGATGTGGGCAGATCGATCTGGCGGGCAGAACTGGGCCTGGCCGGATCGGTAAAAGGTCTCGGCGATGCGGTCTTGCTTGGAGACGCCGAGGAGCTTGCCGGCTGAGCTGACGTGGGCCGCTCGGATGGCTGACGGTCAGTCTGGAGAGAGAAAGAGAAGGAGCGGGAAAGAGAAACGAACATTCACAGTACCAACAGGTGCACTCGCTGTAGACCTCGTCGTACTGCTGCTGGTACATCTTGCTGGTGAACTCAAAGGCGAGGTTGAGGCGGTCCTCGTCGATCTTGTCGTCGTGGTCGATGAGCTTCGGCACGCTCAGGTGAGGCCGGTACTTGGTCAGCCGGAGGCTGTATTTATAGTAGGCCTGCGGGCTGAGCTGGTGCGTGTGCCAGGCGAGATCGACGTCGAGCGTCGGCACGCAGGTCTGCTCCGGGTTCTCGGCCATGATGCTGAAGAAGCGGCCGTACTTGACCACGAGCCGGGTCATGGTCTCAACGGCCGCCGGGCTGTGCAGCCAGTCGATGCGTCGCATCTTGTCGCCAAAGACGCCCTGGCGCAACACCGCGCCGACGAGGTCGAGCGCAAATGGGCCTACGTTGTCCCAATATCGGCTCATCAGCCGACGCACTGCCAGCCGCGACTCGCGCGACAGCTTCTTGGGCCGGTATCGCCGGTCGGCGACGAACTTGAAGAGCTTGTCGGCATCTTCCACAATCTCCTCAAACTTGGCGCGCACAAGCTCCATCGTTGGGGGCGGCTTAATTACGCCAGTTTTGTCGTCCAGCTCCGGCCGCGCCGGGATCAGGCTCAGTGTCCAGCCCAGCATCTCCGACTTGATCAGCTTGTTCGGATATGTCCGTGGATCGTCGCCAACGTTACCCGCAATGTCCTCTGGCTGTCCTGTATTGGCTTTGAGTACCGTGCCTGGCATCGGCTTGTCGCTGCGGATGAGGTCGCTTGCGTCTCGCACAAACTTGGCGACCGAGAGCAGCCGGTTGTCGATCGGGGTTTCACACACCATGCATTTGACGAGAAACTTTCCGTCGCCGTAACCCGTGCCAACCAGGTCTTCCTCCTTGTCTTCGTCGCTCTTCTTCTGGTTGTCCTTGTCCGTGCCGCATGTTGTCCAGGGCACTATCACCTTCTGCTGGCACGCCGGGCACTTCAGCTCCTTTGTCATTGGGTCGTCCACGTTGTCCCAGCTGCAGCCCGTCAGCTGTGTCCATCGCTCCTTTGTCGTGTCCGGAACGCTGTAGTCAAACTCGGCCTGAATGGATTCGTTGACTATGGCCCAGGGAAAGCCGGCCGCCCAGAGACCGCTGAGGCCGTCGCGCATGCAGTCTTCGAGAAAGTTGCGCGGGTTGAGCATATGGGCATGAAATACCATCATGACATCTGTATGGAATAGCTGTCAGCACGCAACCACAACGTCGCCAAGGCTACGCCACCAACGTACCTAGTGGAGGGATCATGTCTTGGCTCCAAGTCATCGGTTCGCTGGCCGTGGGAAAGGTGCTGTAATGGGGGCTTTTCTTCTGCCCCATGTGCGTTTGCTGCAAAATGTTCTTTGGAAACGTGTTCCACCAGGCCGTGTACCGGTCAACTGCCCGTGTGACGAAGAGAGACCACCTCTTCTCCCTCACAAGACTCAGTCGGGCCTGCAACCGTTCCTGTTCTGTTTTCGGCTGTGGCTGGCCGTCCGGCAGCTTTGGCTCAAAGCTTGCAAGGGCACGCGAATCCCACAGGCCCCAGAGGCCATCTGTGTAGCCAATGTCCTCCTTCAGTGCGTGCAATGCATAGAGGAAGCGAAGGTGAGCTAGACATTTGTCGTTATCTGGATCTCCAACAACATTTGACAGCTTCAAATTTCCCAGCGCGGCAGCCAACTGGTCACCCGGATCGGCAGTGCTGTCGTCCCCGGGCGACTGAACAGAATAGGCGGGTGGGACACCGGAGGAGGAAGTCAACTCGTGGGCTTTATCCTTGGCCGCCTCCTGTTCCTTAGACTTGGATTTAAAAAAGGACGGCATCTTGGTCCTGCTGCGTTGTGGTGTGATGTTGCTTGAAAGGATATAGCGCTTTGCCAAAATGTCCTTTTCAGAGGTGTAGTGCCTCGTTCCTTCTCGGCTATTATGTGCAAATATACGCCCTCCTTGTCGAATCACTGGATAATGCTTGAATGAGGTTGGGCTGACTGACTTGTGAGGCGGAGCAGTTTGGTACACCGATGTGATTTGAGTTTAGTGCACTCAATTCGCCTGATTCTCGATAGACTCAGGCAGGTCTGACCTGTCGTGTGCCCCGCCTTCGGCCTTGTAGTGTACCCCGCTAGCTCTAGCGCTGATACAAAGACCGAACCACGACTGCTTTCAGTAATTTACAGCGCCTATCCCGATACTGCCCGCAATTTGTGCCTTGATTTGCGCCGGCGGCATCTCGACCAAACCGTGGATATTAGCGTATGAACCCCAGATCTACAGCGATTATCAACCGGTGCCATACATAGCCGCAGAGAAGCCTGCCTTGTGCCCAACATTGGAGTGGTCGGTGACCACAAAACAAACACGTCTGACAAAAGGCTGTGCAGAGACATTGTTATGGATTTTGGTTTGTTTCTGCCTGCACAGCCGCTTTCTCGGTTATCTCTGCTCCTTGCGATTGGACGAGAAACATGCCACCCTGCACTAGGTAAACACATCGCCTGATTTATGCTGCCGTGCTGCTGACCTTGCTTTTCTCAGATTGTATTTCCACTTTGTTCGCTTCCGCCTCGACGATATGAGCAATTGGTTCGACCACCCGCTTACCCTTTAGCCGGTCCTCTCTTTCATATCGGCTCTCGCTTTTCGGGTCAAAGAAGGCTGCGGGTTCGTTAGCAAATGCGCCATGCAGACCATGGATATGAACGAGAACACATACGCTTCTCGCCAAACACAGTTGTCCGGATGCCGCGCCGATTCGCCTCGTAGCGACCGGGGATGACACGATGGATTGTGCACCGATTGTCCCACATGGCCACGCTGCCGACTGTCCACTTCCAGCGGACCAAGTGGTCGTCGGCCGAATGGATGTGGCCCGCAAAGAAGTCGAGAAGCTTGTCCGACTCGGGCTTCTTCAGCTCGGCAAAACCGATGACGAAGCCTAGGTTGATATTCAAGGCTTTGAGGCCGGTGACTGGATGTGTGCGAACGGCCGGGTGATGCGTATCGATCGGTGGCCGGTTGGGTCCCGATCCCCAGAGGTCGAGGATGGTGTCGTACTGCAGCCGAGAAGTGTGCACGGCATGCAGCTCGTCCACGAATCTCTTCAGCGCTTCGCTGAGCTCGTCATAGAGGCCATACTGTGAGACCCAGGCGGTGTCGCCGCCAACGTCCGGGTGCTCCTCCATGCGCAACATTGAGTACGAAGGCGGGTTCAGCTCAAAAGAGGTGTCGGCATGCCACTCAGACGAGCCCCAGGGCGTGTACTTGGATATCTCCCGGTGATCATCACGGCTGCCACGAATAACAACGTGCTTAGTGTCCCTCTGTGCAGGGTGGCGGTCCAAGATTCCATAGTGCTCGAACACCTCAACTTGCTTCTCTGTAGTAAGGTCCTGGTCTCGAAAAAATACAACGCCACGCTCGGCAACCAAGAGGGCGAGCTCGTCTAGCTGCTGAGGTGTAAGCTGCGAGATTTGCACGCCTTCCAGCACGGTGCCGAGAGACTCCGTCAGATGTACAGCCTTGGCAGCTGAGAACAGTGCCTTCTTTTCTGGATCAGCAAAGCTCGCCCGGTCCTTGTCGGGAGTGAACGCTTTTCGTAACGGCTCCGGAGGGGTCCAGTCACGGATCTTGGGGTTGAAATGGGGATGGATCGAAATGGGAAACCCTGAATCGGGCGAGATGTGTTTGCGAGACTCGAGATTGGCCATTACGATGTTTGTGGAAGACCAAAACAACTGTAATGGTAGACTGCACGTTGAAATGCAGTTGGAACTTTCCAATTTTCACAAAGAGAGAATATATCAAAATTTGTAAGGAGACAATATGTTTATCAGTAAGTTCGTTCCCCGCAGTTCATAGGACTGGCAAAAGACCGGACCGCATCTATGCTACGAAGATTGTGGATCGCGCGATAACATGTGTGGATGAGCACATGTGAGCACGACATCTACAGCCTGTTGGATGTCTCGCTAAAGAACTTAATTTCCATGTTGTCACTTCTAGAGACTAATTAGCATTCTTCCAAAGCTGAAGATGAAGTCGTATCACGGATAGGCTGTCTTTGCTGAGTCAGCAGAAAGGACATCCTGAAATCTGTTGTCCACACGACAAGATGAATAGGTTTCGGACCCATATAGACTCAGAATTTACTAGAGTATTTCACGTACGGCCATAGATACTGGAAAGCACGGGATCCCGTCCGCTCTCCCCTAGTTAAACCAGTAATCGGCGGATTAGTAGTTGGGTCGGTGACGACCAGCGAATACCCGCTGCTGTACGTTTTTGATATTATTTTTGCTCTTATTTGTTTATGTATCCTTTTTTCATGCTATTGCTCCATTTGGACTCCATTTTTTTTCCAATTGTGTATATTCCAATCACTATGGAATATAAGGAACGCGTATCAGAATCTATATGCTGCCATACTACAGCCTCAAACTACCCGACAATCAAATTAGAGCGAAACGTGTGTTAAAGCAAAAGAGAAAGTAAAACATAAGAGAAGAACGACAGAAGTTTAAATCTTTGCCACCGCCACAATTGGCCCACCGGCGCCGGCTTGGACAAAGGCGACCGCCTCGACACCACCAGGCATGGCCGAGCGAGCCGACGGCAGGCTCACGGTCACATTACCACCGCTCCACTCGCCAATTTTGGTTAGGCTAGTGACGACGTTGCGGTGCAGCAGCTTCTTTCCCTTGTTGACACCCTTGCCGATCTTGACGGTCTGGTCATCGGTCTGGTAGACGGCCACCATGATGTCGTGGGTCATGACGGACGGCGGAGGCGGCTGAGGCGGAGCCTGGGCCATGCCCTGATGGCCTTCGTGGCCGACGAGGCCGCCGAGCCCGTCGAAGCCAACATGCGTGTATCCGGTGATGGGCACGGGCGCGTCCGAGTCGATGTGGATCTCAGTGTCGTTGGCGTCGAGCAGGATGTGGAAGGGCATGGCGGTGTGGACGGCCTCACGAGCGCGCTGAACAACCTCATCCATGTCGGCGGCCCCGTTGGCGCCCGAGGTGTCGGCCACACCGTTGACGACGACCTGTGGCGTGAACAGGCTCTTGCGCTGCCAGCGACGGAGGTAGGCTCGCTGTCGCTGGTCCCAGGTGCTGCGGGCGAGTGTGTCTTTCCAGTCGCCTCCGTCGAAGGCGGTGACGTTGTAGGTCAACAGCAGCCGGTTGGGGCTGTTGGCGGCGGCCTGAATGCTCGGAACGGCCGGCGGGCACGAAGCGCAGCCCTGGGACTGGAAAAGCTCAAGCAGGGCCGGTGGCTCAAAGTCAATGAAGCAGGCGTTTGTGTGCACGTGGTCCGGGCTGTCCATGAGCGGGCTGCCGTTGTCGTCCAGAGCCAAAGCACAGACCAAAGGCGGCTGCTTCTTTCGGCGGAACAGCCGTCGGAAGATGGAAGCCATAGTGGAGGAGATTGTAGAGGGTAGAGAGAGAGTGGGTAGACAGAGACAATGGTTGAGATTAGGAGCTGTTGTCGATCTTCACAAGAAACTGAAAATGGAAGACCTGGAGACCAACAGATCAAGACGAAAGTCAGTATAGCAAGGGAAGAGGAGGGATGGAGGAGATGCGAGAAGTAAGGTTCAACCAAACCAGACTACAACGTCCTCTACTGTTTTATATCCAGCAAAGACGGAGGGAAATTGAGATTCGGGTGCACCACCCGGTATTTTTGCAATGTCCCTGTCCCACCCGGATTGTCAGCAGCTGCCAACGCCATTCGCAATTGAGCGTGGACCGCCTTCGGCGGACGTCAGCTTATGCTCCGCCGAGAAAAAGTACGCCGTCAGCACCAATGTCGACGCACTGCTCTTCCCCTGCCGCTGTGTGGGTATCGGCATCGCAGTATGCTTTGCTGGATGGAATCATGGCCGTGAGGAATCAAAGTCGAATACGTCCTGAATTGGGAGAACTGCACAGCCCAATGCGTTTTCAAGGTGGATAGAATCTCACAAGCTTGAAAATAAAAGCAGTGTGAGATCTATCAGAAAGCTTCCGGCCCCACTTCGTGTTCCTGCCATATCGGTGGTGAGACGATGGGGGGACAGCTGGGCAGTTTCTCGCCTGATGAGCTTTCCGTGCCGGCGTAAATAGCTGGTATATCCCGATCATTTTCCATGCGGCGCAAGAGACATCTTTCTTGCAGTACATGTTGCTGATTGGCCTTGGGTAGCATCAGTTCGGGCTTGGCGTCAGATACAACATGACAATATATGTGTCTAGGCTGATAATTGCCGGCTGACACGAACTGCTTGCAAAATTGTTTAAACTTGACGATCTAATGCATTACAAAGCCTCCCTGCGTATCTTATAAAAATAACTGCATGTTCTATTGGTCGTCCGGAAAGCGACAAGCTAACCGAATCGTGACTGCTGTTCACTCCTCTTCCTCTTTGTCTTCTTCCTCCTTATCCTCAACCTTTCTAGACTTCTTCTTCGGCTTGAGCCAATCTTCGTGTCCCTCCGGCCAGTATACGAGTCCTTCCGGCCCGCCTACATCGACCCCATCAAAATTCTTAACAGCGGTAGTATCTCGCTCGTGTGGCGGCACGTCGCCGATGCGCTCAAATCCCGGCAGTTGGAAGCGCCGCATCAGATCAAACACAGCCTGCTCCTTGTCCTTGGCCTCGATCATCAGGTCGGCATCGGCCAGACATGGAGGCAATGTGACGACTCGTGCGCTATGCTTTCGTCGCTGATGTGGTGTCGCCAGTGGGCCTGCACTGGGCTCCGAGTAGTGCATCTTGGGTGTGATGCCTTTGGCCGTCCAGGTGGCCCGAATACGCGCAGCGAGATCTGTCCGTGCGGCGACTGAGGGTGGACTGGTGTCTAGATCGGCGTCCTCGTTCTCGCTCTCGTTATCACCCTCTTTCTCGTTCTCGTTGTTGACGTGGACGATGCTGTGGTGGTGATAGTCAAGCACCAGCGGAATGCCGAGCTCCTCACAGACAGGCAGAAGGTCGTGCACGCTCCAGGCGACGTCGTCGTTCTCAAGCACCAATCGGGCTCGTACCTCATCCGTGAGCTTCTCGCGGTAGACCTGGGTGAACCGCCGCAGCGTTGCCGCCTTGTCACCAAATACACCGCCCATATGTAAGATCATCACGGCGTCGCGGTCCTGTTGTGGCGGCAGCTGCAGCAGTCGCAGCATCTCAGCGTGGTAGGCCAGGTCGCGCAGCGCTGCCGTGACCACGTCCTCGCGGGGTGACCCCAGCTGTGTATATTGTCCCGGATGAGTCGTCAGACGGTGGCCGTACTTCGCGGCGACGCATCCGGCCGCCGCCAGTGTCTCGGCTGCAAACGGCGCCAGCGCATAGCCATGCTCGCCATGGCTCGCAAATGGAAACATGTCAGAGCTCAAGCGCAGGAACCGGATGCCGAACCGCTCGTTCCACCGCAACATTGCCGCCAGGTCTCGCGCGTTGGCCAGCCCCAGCGCCTCGACATATCGCTGGCCACGGCACGTGTCTGCCGGCTGTGTCCGGTCTGGCCGGTTCTTCGTCCGGTGCGGTGGCTGCTCCGGGTCTTGCAGCGGGTGTCGTTGCTCCAAAATGGAGGAAAGGCGACACGTGCGCGAGCAGAACACCGGCGGCGTCGCCGTCCGCAAATAAGTGTTGAGACAGGCCTGCAATGGTCAGTATACATGCAGAGTTCGAGAGCCAATGTGCAAGGAGATCCTACGTAGCCTAATCTGCCTTTCCAAGGAAGTGGGAGGTTTCCTCCTTCCAGAGGCGATTCATATTTTAGTCTTGGGCCAGGCTTCACAACGTCCACTTTTGCCTTTGTTGTGAGCGTGGTTTTGGGCTTGGTAGTCGTTGCGATGGGTGTATACGTTGTGTCCTTCCCTGTGGCCTGGGATTTAATCCTTTTGGATGCTCGAGTGGATTTTCGCTCTTCTTTGATCACAGTGGTAGATGCTGCGCTGATCTTGACATCGTCTTCATCGACACGCACGCTAGATAATCTTGCGCGCGTCCTCTTTGTCGCCATACTGACAAGGCTAGGTTTGGCTGTAGTCGAAACGCGGTAGATTCTTCCGAAAAGAGTGCTGTAGGCGATATATGACCGCATAGTGTACTGTTAAAGAAAGGTTACGAGACGGATTGGAGATCTACTTTGATGACTTGCGCTCTGTACTTCAGCCCAGGCGGGGGCGAATATGCTGCCTTGTGGAGTAGATCTGCAACCAACATCCGAGATCGACATCGGGTGGGTCTTGGTACTGGATCTGAGATGTACTTCTTGTTGCGTCATTGCTCAGTTCCTGCTACGAGAACTATAAACGTCTGCCTCGTCGTTGTTCTTTTCCCGGATCGACAAGTCTGATGCATCGTGCGGCACGACAGCGATGTGTTTCCTGCTCTTTGGACCGGCTCGGCTTTCGGTTCTTATGTGACTCGATATTTGCTACAACAATCACCAGTACATCGGTATCACGGCAATTTAGTGTGCACCATTAGCTTTTGTAGTGTTGTGCTTTCCCGTGCAGAGTGTGGTGTGTTTTCATCGTTGTAAATGATATCGAGGTCGAACTGTCCTGGTTTGCTGAATAATTCGAAGCTGTAAGCGAAGGCAGTGTCGCGTGACGAGGCTTAAAGCTATCGATGTAGCATTCGAAGCCAGAGGTGTATACTACCAGACAGCAGTCTGGTCTAGAGTAGGTGTGTATGAAAGCAGTATATCGGCGTGGGCGATCGTGCGGTGGCAGCCTTGAATCGGTAGGATGAATGCATACCATAAAACTCGCAATAATGGTACTAGATCACTCGACTTTGTCCATACGGTCGCCCATATGAAACTGACCACAAGATCAGTATCTCTTGCGAAGACTGATGGTCTCTATGATATGCAATCCAATCAGTTAGCGGAAAGGGATTGGAGAGTCACAGGTAATATGAACTTGCTATCGTTGCATGTCTGCCAAGTAGATGAGACTCTTCCGAGTAAACGCGACGTCGTCAGCCAAACAGTCAGTCCGTCTCGTCCTTTCCAGCCAGGGACAAACAAAACACCGGACGTAACATTGAAGCATGCGCCGCCATAACTGGAGCTCCAAAGTACGACTTTTTTGTCACATCGCTCTAGGCCAAGCAGAGTACATGTAGTTATGCACAGGTTGGCGTGTTGCAGCAGTTATTATGCTCGACCGCCAGATACCTGTCATTGCCACGTACGTCTTCGTTTTATAGCTCTCGCCACCGCTTTGACAAACACAAGGATGGTTGCTTTTTCTTTTTCGGCAAGCCGTATCAACGAAAACTTACGCACAGACAAATTACTGGCAAAAGGTGGACTTCATTGATCAGACTCTTACGATTCAAGCCGGCACAGTTCAACAGTCACATGATATATCACGTGACTTATTTTAATGTTTAAAAAAAAAAAAAAAAAAGAGCACTCGCACTTGCTGGCGCCCAAAAAAAAAAGAAAACTATCTACAGGATCACCATAATAATACAGGAAAAGTATGCAGCAAATATATACAGCAAAAAAACAAAGGAAGCAAAACTCGCTCGCTGGCTATAAAACAAAGAAAGCAAAACAAAAAGCAAAACAAAAAAAGCAAAACAAAACATGCTCGACTAAAAAAAAAAAACAAACGCTGAAGTCGCTATCTAGAGATACAGAAAAAACAATACCAGAAAAACAATGCAGAAAACAAAAACAAAAACAGGAACTGCAAAATATGTACAAGATAAAAATGCAGAATGTATATACAGGAACAAAAGCAAAACCCCTTCCTTTGTCTCTGCGCCCGCCGGATCAAACCCCCTGAAGGCCCGACCCCAACGCAGTCAGCACTCCCTCCCCAACTGACTTGCCCACCAACAACGCAAAGACAACCAATAACAAAAATACGAGCATCGTCTGGTTGCTCGTGTAAACACCCGGCATCACCACAGGTCGCCTCTCCCAACTGCCCCTGGTCCACTGTCGGTCGTTCCCACTGACGGGCTCCCCATCTGGGGGCACTTGACCTGTCACGTCAGTCAATTGGGACGTACCTGTACTGTTCGTCGACGATCCGTTCGATGAGGGCCTGCAATTGAGACGCCAGATAAATTCAGAAAAAGATCCGAAGGGCGGAAGAGTGTGAAGCGCCGTGCTGGATGGCCGCTCGGTGAGCGATGTGCTGGATGGCCGCTCGGTGAGCGATTCCACAGGTTGTTCGCTTATCGGCACAAAGGGGAGCTGCTCGGGATTCTGCTGCTCTGCCGGTTGTGTCTCGGCTTCCGTCCAGTTGTCTTCGGTCTGCGTAGAGGCTGTCGATGATTCGTAGGGCGACGGCCAGTGGGACCTGGGGCTGTCGGGGCGCAAAAAGCCCACGATGAGTACCGGGTTCCTGTAACAGATCAGAAATGATCACAATTGAAAGATATAAAGAGAGAGCATGATCTGTGAAATATGCGTGGACAGTGGTTGATTGATGGGGGTGTACGAACTGTAAGATGTTGTATAAAGCTGAGGTGAAAGTCATGATTGCGGTGATCCTGGAGAGTTGCAGAAGCCAAGCCAAGCCAAGCGAGGAACAATGCTTGGTATTTGTAGCTCTCTGCTGGGAGTGGGGAGTGGGGGGGAGGGGGGGTTCTTTCCTCAGTAATGCATTCTAATCTTTCCTCTTTCAAGGAAACTTTGAACTTATTGGACCAGGTTTGGAAAGAGTAAAGAGGTCGAGAGAGGAAGGAGTAAACCACTAAAATGCGACTGCTTGCATGAGGTATCGTTAGCCCAAGAACGGTAGGTGCAGTGGCAGCCAACTATTTGTACCACAAGCAAGAACGATCTTGATATGGAACATGAAGTGCCATTTTACGGGTTAATATCAGAGATGAATACCAATTTCCCTTGTATTATCGTTTTCTCGTCGTCTTGTACACTATTTCCAAAACGCTTTGATACCTAGTAGGTAATCCCTTTTAGCTTCATCGCCGCTTCCTGAGACCTGCTGCTTCTCATTCTCTCCGAAAAAGTACCGACTCTTGTTTCTTTTCGGCCATGGCCATTGACCTTCAAGCGGCATGTCATCATAGACGGCATTGATGAAATTGTGAGGGCTAAATGGACTGTATAGATAAGCTAGATGTTCGTTTTGTAGTGCAACACAAACATCAAGCTTTTCTAATGTAAGATCTGCAGGGCGAAACCGAGATAATACTCGCATATCACCGGAAGAGCTTGTAGCTATCAAACATGCGGTCCAACGGCAGTCTTCCGATAAATCGGTCAAGAGATAGCGGCGGTTCTCGTATGTTTTTCCGGGAATTTGTACTTCATCAGGGTACATTATATTGTTGGGTTTCCATTTGCAGTCGACTTGAGCCCCATTTAGCTCTGGGACAATGTTTTCCGAAGACCAATGGAACCCCTCGCGCATCAAGCGAGGCACATCTGGAGTGTATACCAAGAGGACTGCAGTCCAGGTCTCGGGACCATGTTTCGCCCCTTTGAAGCTATTTGAGCCATATGCAAAGAAAATAGCGCATTCTGCTTTGTCTCCATCATCAAGCCAGGTATCTTTGTTTTTCAAGTGGAATATTCTTGATAGCTCCTGCAGAGTTGGGGGCTGAGAAGACGACCCTGTTTCGACTGTGGAAGATATGGAAGGCGTGTAGACCGTCGTCCCGGGCGTGTCGACCGACAAGCAAGAAGAATTCGGCGACATAGCGGAGTCTATCAATGGGTTGGAGGGCCGATAAAGAAGGAAACAAATTGGAAAAGGGGGGTCGATATCACGGCGGAAGGAACGGATGGAAATTTGTTGTAAGGAAAGGGGAGTTTGGGGATTAGAAATGGAAGGAGTGAAGAGTGGAATATGGAAGAGAAGGAGGTACTGGCGAAAAAGCTTGAAAGGTAAATTAAATAAGCGTAACGTATTGCTTACGCGAAACCCGGTGTGTTCGAATGGTTTCCATGTTGTTAGGTTGACTAAGAGTAGAGCTATGATTACTCCCGTCTCTGTATCTTGCTACAGCTCTGACACAATGTCGTGCTCACCCGCTCTCGTCGACTAGTACTTTGGTAATTGTTTGTCAGCAACCTTCTATTTTTGGGGAGGTTCTCATGTTCGTTCTACCATGACCACTTATCAAAAGTATTGGTGTTGCCATTCATTATGCATCCTTTTCTGCCTCTTATAGCACTCCAGCGGGCCCTTCTCTCCGATGGCAAATTCTTGATCTTCTACGCTGGGCAAGGCACTTCAGTCACAATGGTACAGGCGTTTCGAGAACAGGAATAATTTAGTAATATGATAATCAAGAAACACTTATATTAGTACGACCGGTAAAGAACTCCTTATGTTTTTGCTCGTATTTCTTGATACGAAATGGCTATATGATTTTGATTTGAGACTTGTTTAGAAACTTCCGAAAGGAGAAAGCTGGCTAATATCTATCTGCAAGCTATCAACGAATAAAATTACACAATATTGGGCTCAAGGTTAATGTGCGAATTGATTGAGCAATATGTTGGAACGTCTCCACTCGTTCGAGCAAAGTACCGGGGCTCTGGCTCTAGCACTTGAAGTTCCGGCTCCGCGCCTGCTTCAGTATTCACAAACACATGGTGTATGACTGGAGTTGTAGAAAGTCAAGCCTTTGTCAAGTAAAAGACATTGGCCCGCTAAAAGCCATGCCCTTTTCACAAATGTTGTATTAAAAGCTGCGGGGCCACGGGCTACACTGCCCGTATGGTGAAAGATGCTGCTAGGAGGCTCAGAACTGATGCCGAGCACTTCTGAAAAACCCGACCGTTTGCTTCTCCAAAATGACACCACAGCTCAGCGAGGGCCGGTGCTGTTTTTGGTCAATCTTTGTTCTTTCTAAAAAAGGCGTTCTTTGGCTGACGTGCCCCAGAACAGCTCTCATACTGAGTCAGACATCCTAGCCACGACCCAATCTCTCGTCATCCGGTTGAACCTTCTTCTCTACCTCTTCTGATAGACTGTTGCGATGGGAAAATGACAAAACATGTTCAACTGCTATTGGACTCATGGGCCATAAAAGAACAGTTGGGCGCGGCAGGCCTGTTCCTCCGCAGGAGACAGACCATGTCATTCCTCTGTGGCGGCAGTGGGCAACGGTCCCAGCCCGGTGCCATCCTAGAATTCCACCATCTCGAGTGGTACTGGCCATTGCTGCACGGCTACCTCGTGCTGGCCTGCTGGCTCCCTGTGCCGCTCATGTCCGAGCCAGTATGGATGAGCACGTTGAAAGTGTTACTATACGAGCTACCTCTGACAGTGGCGCCATGGAACCCCAAATAATGGCGCAGCTCTTCCGTCTCAATATTGCTTCGGGTGCGGATGCAGGTGTGGGTGTAGGTCTTGGCTCGCCGAGACAGCTGAGTACAGCACACCACCAATGTCCCCCAAGGTATGAGTTCCATTCTCTATTCTACTCCCACCCATAATGGCTCGATTCCATTATGCCAATCCGTGATGTCGGGAATGAGGCCTGATTTTGCCAGAAACCCCCATTCGAAGTAGCAGGTAGGAATTCGGCATTTGTTCTGTCGTGTCGGATGGCGGCACTGGAAATATTAGGGCAGAATTTAGTGCTGGAGGCCGCCCACTGTGCGTCAGATCTACGACGTAGTTGTGATGGTAGATGTTTCTTGACAATGTAACAAACCTCTACTGGCGATGATCGACCCCTGTGGAATTTATCTATCAACAGCAATTCCAAGATAAATATAGAATCAGAAGACGACATAGAGTTGGTGTAGAAGCGAGGACTGTTGCAAGATACTAGGCAGGAGACAGAATGATCTAGCCAAAAAAAAAAATGGCAATTGCCCTTGAAAATGCACCATGAGCAACACCGGGCGGTCGTTAGGCTAGGCGACCACTGAAAACATAAAAAAAAACAGGTAATACAAAGGGCTCAGTCGGGGATCGAACCCGAGACCTCGCACATTTTACATTTTGATGTAAAGGGGACAACCCGAAGCGCGAATCATACCACTAGACCACTGAGCCGGTCTCTGTTGGTTGACCTGCCGCCGTTTCATTGGCACATGATGCCCAGCGCCCGGATTGATGATTCGACGAAGCGTCACTACAACGACAATTTGAATACCTCGCCCCACCACAATTATTATCGACTCACATACATAGTTGGATACCTGATGATAATATTGAAGACTCATGTCTGCTTACTTGTGGCTGGAAGGACAAAAATATAAATAAAATTGAAGCAGAGCCGCAATTGTCTCGTGACTGAACAAGTAAAGCACAGGCACTTTCACAAGCCAGTCACAGATTTCTGCAGAAGCATCAATGTACTACTCAGTCCTTGTTGACAGGTTGCACATGTCTAAACTATGTATTTATCTTCGTTCTGTACTGTAGCAAACATATGTGTATGGGCACAGAATCGCTGTAAAAAGGACCTGCTTGTACCTCTCTTGGTGTCAAAGGGAAAGTGATCTCTTCCACCGTGAAGCCAGACCGCGATGCCGAGGTCATAAATTTCTCGAAGGTTGTTCTGTTACGCTCCGTGGCCGCCACCAATATGACAACATGAGGAAACAGGTCAACCAAGTCTGTAAATGTTGCTATGAGGAGAGGTATGACACTGCCGTCGTAGGTGATATCAGCCCCTAACACGATGTCCACCGGCCGTCCTCCTCTCCACTTCGACTCTTCCGTCCCGATAAGTGCGTGGCCCCATTTAAGGCCCGCTACCGTGGCCTTCGTCGAGCCCTGCAGGCCGTTCAGAAAGAAGCTCTCGGGTAGGTTATTGATGACGTCATCGGATCCGTCAGTCGCGAGCACATCCGCAGCTCCCAAATACTGAGCGCACAGGATAGACAAATAACCTGTCCCTGCCCCAAGCTCCAGGACGTGCTTTCCTTTTATATAATCAGGTCGACTGCATAGGTATTGACCCATGTGAAGTGCAGCCTCCCATGTCGCCAGTCCAGTCGTCCCTTGCGCGGAAATGATCGTGCGGGATTCAAGAAGCGTTATTTTTGGGCAATCGTCGGACGCCTTAGTAATATCTCTACCACCGCTCTCATCGAGTGCAGAAATGGTGTATACAACGTAAGTTTTTTGCTGGGCGGCTGCCAATTCAGAGGGCAGTGGCTGGCTGAGCAGTTCCGACATGCGCTCCATCAGGCCATCATGAACCCCCTTCATATCATGTTAGTAGAGTGAAGCCCGTAGTCTCTCAGTTAATTGCAACTATGGCGTACTAACGTATTTATCCCAGTCTTCGATGCCGGCTTCAACGTTCCCGACAAGTTTTTTAAGAGTTTTGAGTTGGTACCGAGGTGAGCCACAATTGTGCCGTGCTTCTGGTCCCCAGAGACTCTGATAGATAATTTCCTGAACACTGTCTTCTTTCAAGTACTGCGCGTCGGGATATGTCAGCTGCTGTTCAAGCTGCAAGTACTGGCGACAAAACCTCCGGACTTGGTTCTGTGCCGCCTCTGAAATGGAACGGTCCGACGACATTCAGGAAGAGACTCTGGGCGGTGCTAATTGATTTGAAATAAAGAATAAGAAACTGCGATCACGTCACGGGGATAGTTTCTTAAGTGACTATTTTTGAACGAAAGCGAAAATCAAAACCACATTGCTGACAAAATTTTCTGGGTCGGGCGGAACAAGACACGTGACAGCGGCCAGCAATGTTCACCGAGTCGGTGGGGAAAGAAAGTATGGACCGCTCTTCTGACTTGCAGCAAACGGCGCCTGCTCTCGTATGTCTCGCTACTGGTCAAGGACGGGACACTTCTGCCCTGCCATCGTACTTCCATTCCTGGCTATTTCCTGATGGAGGGGGAGGGGTTGCCAGCCGCGGGATGTATCATGTACTGAGTATGGCATAATGCATCTGCCTTTTGCGGCTGCCCGGAGGCCGTATTCCGTAAGATGCGCATGCACCATTGCATATCATTTTTCAGTATTCCAATCCAGTTTTTGTGGATTGTATATTTATGGTGCATTTACATATGCCTCACCAGGAATGTACGATTGTGCAAAGTGCATGTCATCAGGCCCATGGCCGGCCAAACTTCGTCCATCGGCCTTCTCTTTCCCGGACCTTACGTCCATAGACACAGAATACGACTCGAGCGATGTCGAGCTGCAGCCAAACCCAATGTCGCGCCAGTTCCGCGAGAGAGAGAGCGAAGATGAAGACAACTCGTGAGCCCAGCATCTGCTCTGCCCATCCGGCTTACCCGTACGATGAATGAGACGCTCTACAATGCCCATTTCCAGCTACACAGCTGCCTTCTCCGTTGACCAAGCAATGCCATAAGATAATAAGTGTCTATATCGACACAGGCTATCAACACCACCAGGCGTTCATACGTGCTCAAGCCGCGGCTCGACAGATGATCGAACAGGGCTCTGGTGGGTCGGTTGTCTTTATATAGTACAATTCCGGCCATCGACTAATTTTGAACAGCGTACAACCCGAGCGGACGGATGGGCTGTCCGGCCGGGCTGACATGGATGACTGTGCTATTCTTAAGTGACGCAGGATCATACATTAGTGGCATAGATATCGTTGTAGATGAGGGTTAAATAGTCTTGTAAGGTGATATTTGCTCCTTATGACGCAAAAATGTTCGTGTCTTCATTAATAGCTACTCAACTAGTGGAATCCCAGCTCATTCGAACAGTTTATCGATATACTTTCCAATCTTGCCACGCTGCCGAGCAACGTACATAGCCTCGTAGTTGTCAATCTCTTCTTTCAGACCACCGAGGCTGATATCTGCCGTACCTGGCCGCACATAAGAGGTACGGAAGACGAGCTTCCAGACAATAAATAGGACGATGAAAAAGCCAATCATGGCGTAGTCCAGCATGAACCACTTGATAGACCAGCGGCCAGAGATGAAGACATCATAGCCACCGGCAAGAAGCATAAATGTGGTGCCAGCCATGGCGATGTAGGACGTGTACGGCTGGAAGCGGCCCTTGTAGGGCAGCGTATCGCGCGAGATGTTATTGCGGGCCAGGGCGGAGTAGAAGTGGCGGTAGATGGCAGCGGCGCAGAGGTAGTTGATCAGCTGGCAGCAGGTGACAAGGTCGACGAGGTAGTTGAGGACCTCGGCCGAGGAGCTGCTAACTTGCAGGAAAGCGAGGAAGCAGAAGCACAGGGAGAAGAGGAGGGCGTAGATGGGGACGCCGGCCTTTGTGCAGAAGGAAAAGAAGCGAGGGGCGTGGCCCTCGAGCGACATTCCATGCAGAGTGCGGGTGGCAGAAAAGAGCAGACCATTGCCGGCACTGAAGATGGAGGTCATGATGAGGGCGTTGACGAGATGGGGCAAGCCGCTGATTTTCAGGCGCTCCATGGCGATAACATAGGGGCTGCAAATGTGTATTAGTCTTTATAGAGAGACAATCAGGAGCGGCAGATGGACTCACGATGCTGCACCGGTTCCGGAGCCACTGGTGGTGCCGCCGAGGATGTTGCTCAGGGTGGTGTCGTTGTAGGGGATGACGATGCCCATGCAAAGTGCCGAGCCGACAAAGAAGAAGAGGATGCGCCAGACGAAGGAGCGGAAGGCAGGCGGCAAGGCCTTGCGGGGGTTCTCAGCCTCGCCGGCAACCATGGAGATGTACTCGGGACCGCAGACGCTGGATCGTGTCAGAATCGGGGTGGCAGGAGCCGGTAGCAGAGGGAGAGGGAGAGGGAGAGACGTACGAGAAGCTGGCCTGGTACATGCAGGAGATGATACCGCAAAAGCGACCGGTGTTGCCGGTGACGATGTGCTCGACAAAAGAGCCCGGGTTTTTCCAGTAGCGGAAGCCGTAGCGGTCGTGGATTGGGTTGCCGCCGAGCATGGTGATGAAGGTGAAGAAGAACAGGCCTAGCATAAGGAGGACCTTGAAGATGGAGAGGTAGAACTCGCTGATGCCAAAGTAGCGGACGGTGGCGACATTGAGCAGGGTGTAGGCAACGATCATGGCCATGATGATGGCCGAGACAGGCACATCGTCGGACCAGAAGGTGATCATGATGTTCATGGCGACGATCTCAAAGGGCACGAGAAAGGCCATGTTGAGGAAGAAGTTCCAGGCCATGGCGAAGCCGAGCGCACCGTCGACCCACTCGCTGCCGAAGCGGACAAAGGGGGACGGCACGGGAACGTAGGTGACCATCTCGGCGAAGCACTCGTTGACGGCCCACATGATGGCACCCCAGATGATAAAGGCGATGAAGAGGCCGGCAGGGCCACCCTTGGGCAGGGCAGAGCCCATCTGCACGTACAGGGCTGGGGGGGTTAGCGGAAGAAGGAGACCATAGAACGATGTAAACAACGGAAAAGGAGAGGAAAATCAAGATATTCAAGAATCAAACAAAACAATGATATATCCAACAAAATTCAACAGACGCGAAAGCACAGCGAGATTGACAGTACTACGTACACGTTCCAATGGCTGCTCCAATTGCAAACATCTGCACCTCGTTACCGCGTAGCTTGCGGTGCAGGTGCTGGGAACCGGCCGAGACATTGGTAGCCTGGCCCTCGGCCACATCGCTGTCGGCAGTTGCCACCTTTTCGTCGACACTAGGTATTCCCATCTTGCCAGAGTGATGATGAGGAAGAAGATGAAGAACGGGGAGGGCGAGGAGGATGCAGACTCAAACATGCTCGACGAGGCGACCCAATTTTGACTTATATACAGGTTACGCCCCTATGCAACTCTCGGCGATCCTTCGGTTACCGGCTACAGGGCACAATAGAGCGGATTGTGGGGTGTCGTGATAAGGAAGCGTCCTTATTTTGTGTGTCTCCGGCACGCAATCTCACACGGACCCGCCGCTTATCTCTTGCGTCGGATTAACCGCTGTCACGGGCATTACAGGTAGTGCGTATGTCCTGTCTAGCGCAGCCTTTAGCGGAGTGTGGGCGCTGCTCCCCTGCAGGCCAGGCGGCTATAGCGTATAATCCGGATTAGTGCAGCACATTACCGCTGGAACGTAGTGGAGACAGCGCGTGGTCTTCCGCTGTGACCAGGAACAGATCCCTGCATCGACAGGCGGGGCGCGTGGTTTTTACACGTGTGTACGGAGCATGTGTGTTTATTTGTGTCACTGCAGACTAATGATGATACGGGTACAGGCGATAGGGCTAACGCTTGAAGTCGTCGGACCGGAACTCCTCGTACTTGTACTCGGGCTGGAACTCGACATAGAGGCAGTCCTGGGACGTTAGCATGGGAGCAGGGAGGGCAGGAGCAGACGAGCGTGCTTACGGGCGTGCTGGCCATGCGGAAGTTGTAGGCGGCCTCGTCGTCGCTGACGATGGTCTTGGGCAGGCCAGCGGCGTCGGCGAGCATCTGGACGCGGCAGCTGCGCTCCATGAGGCAGAAGAGGAAGGCCGCCTCGTCGACGGTGCGACCGGTGGTGAGGAGGCCGTGGTTGAGCAGGATGGCGGCCTTGTTGTGGGCGCCGAGGCTCTGAGCGATACGTTCACCCTCGGACGCGTCGTTGGCGATGCCGCCGTACTGCGAGTAGACGGCGTGGGCACGGTAAAAGTAGCAGACGTCCTGGTTGATCATCTCGAGCGGACGGCCAAAGGCCGAATAGGCACGCCCGTGAACGGAGTGCGTGTGGCAGATGGCGTGGATGTCTGGCCGAGCCCGGTGGACGGACGAGTGGATGGAGAAGCCGGCCGCGTTGATGGAGCCGGCCGTGTTGCCGCCGACGACTTCACCGGCCAGATCGACGCAGATCATGTCACTCGCTCGCATCATGCCAAAGTGCACGCCCAGCGGGTTGATCCAGAACCGGTCCGCGTGCTCGGGGTCGCGCACGCTGATGTGACCCGAGATGCCCTCGCTGTATCCCTCGCGCGCAAAGACGCGGAAGGCCGCGGCCATGTGCTCTAGCTGCCACTGCCGCGTCTCTGCGTGCGTCGCGAACACCGGGATGCCCGGCAGCGCTTTGCCGCGGTGGGCCATGGCCGCCAGCGCCTCATCCTCGGTCGCCAGCGACATCTTGGGCTGCTGGGCTGCCGTCACCGTGGCCGTCGACGTTGCAGAGGGGGCCATTTTTGTCTGTGTGAGTGTGTGTGCGTGTGTGGAAGGTACAGGGTAGAGTGGTCTGGCCGTTGTATTGTGATTCAAGGACTACACATTGCAGACACAATTCTGCCAAATAAGGACCGCTATAATATGGGCTGTCTGCCTGGTCAGTGCACGCTAATACCCCGCAGTAGCGGGCGATAAGGCCTGTGAGCGTCGTATCGGCCGACAGCCATATCCACACATCCACACCTGAATCCTACGAGAGTACGGAGTACATAGTGTTGAGTTACGAGTCGAATTGCTTGGCGCAATGGTGCTCTGCTGGTGCATCTTCTGTCTCTGCACAGTACTCCGTACTTTCTGCAGCTGCTTGTGCAGACGACTAGAGGACCAGACAAACATGGCCATCCAAACGGTCGCTTATGCAGGTATGAGTCCCAACTAAACCAACTTACAGAGCCGCCTGCAGTCTGACAAGCGCAGGAGTCCTGGCGGCTGCAGACCACGCGGCGGCCGTGCTGAGCCTGGCAGGCCTGTCTGTGGTGCTGCTGGCCATTCTGGTGTACGGGCCGCTGTGGGTGTCGCCTCTGGCGTGCGTTCCGGGCCCGAAGCTGTTTGCGCTCTCGCGCTGGCGCCTGGCTCTGGAGGACTACCGTGGCTCGCGTACGCGATGCATCCGGGCGCTGCACCTGTCTTACGGCTCTGCTGTGCGGATAGGACCAGCCGAGGTCTCGTTTGCGTCGCTGGCGGCGCTGCGTGCCATCTACGGCGCTGGCTCTGGCTTTGAGCGCACCACCTTCTACCGCATGTTTGACGTCTACGGCCGCCAGAACCTGTTCACGTTTGCGCCCGTGCGCCAGCACGCCGCCCGCAAGAAGCTCGTCGCCCATGCCTACTCCAAGACGGCCGTGCTGCGGCAGGACGGCGCTGCCGTTCCGCTGATCGCCCGCAACGTGCGCTCCTTCTTGGCCCTGCTCGAGCAGCGTGTCCTCGCCGGCGAGCCCGACGAGATCTTCCGCAGCCTGCACTGGTTCAGCCTCGACAGCATCACCGGCTTTCTCTACGGCACCGATCGCCACGGCAGCACCGACGCCCTGCGCGGCAACGAGGCCCACCGACGCCTCCTCGACGATATCCTCAACCCGGAGCGCCGTCGCCTCAGCTGGTTCGCCGTCCACCTGCGCGCCTACACCGCCTGGCTGTACTCCCGCACCGGCCTGCTCGATCGCCTCATCGTCGCCCTCGGCCTGCTGCCCATGTCCCGGCCTGCCACCTACACCGCCATCCGTGCCCACGCCCTCGCCTCCTGGCTCGGCTACGAGGCCGACGTGGGTGCCGGCAGGACCGTCTTGCCCGATGGTGCCACGGATGCCTCCATCATGCAGCGGCTGCACCACCACAGCCAGGCCGGCGCCAAAGCCGGTGCTCGCAGCTCGCTGGATGGTCTCGACATCGCCTCCGAGCTGGCCGATCACTTCCTGGCCGGTATCGACACCACTAGCGACGCCAGCATGTTTGCCATCTGGGCTCTGTCACGGCCAGAACACGCTCACTACCAGGCCCGCCTCCAGGCCGAGCTGGCTGCCCTCGACTACGGATGTGGTGTCAGTGAAGACGGCCAGATTGCCGCTCTGGACGAGCACGGAAACCCGACAGCAGATGCGGCTGACCGGTTGCCCTTCCTCGACGCCGTGTTGCGAGAGACGCTGCGCCTCTATGCACCGCTTCCGGCGTCTGAACCTCGCGTCATGCCGACTACCGACGTCGTCATCGACGGTGTTCACATTCCCGCCGGCACTGTCGTCAGTATGGATCCCTACACGCTTCACCGCAATCCGGCCGTCTTCCAGGACCCGCTGGCCTTCCGTCCCGAACGCTGGCTCGGTGAGTTTGGTGACGTCTCCGAGATGCGCCGCTGGTTCTGGGCCTTCTCCAGCGGTGGCCGCATGTGCATAGGCATGCAGTAAGTAGCCACAGGCCGAAGAGGGGAGAGAGAGACGTGTGATAATGCTGACTAATCACAGTCTCGCCATAGCTGAGATGACCATGTTGTTGTCTGCAATCTACCGGAAATACTCGACAAAGCTGCACGCACGCCAGGAGGGCGTCAGCCCTGGAATCACCAGCCGCTTCGAGGTGTTCAGTGACAGTACGCTGTCCAAGGTCTCGGTGAGTGGAACCTCTGCCTCTTTTGTCTTTAGCTCTCTTTCCCTGATCGTGACAGGAACATGAATGTTGGATCACATTTGAAAAGGTCGGCACCAGGAAAAGACAGCAATAGAACTGAGTGAAAATTGATCTATATCGCTGGACAAACTATATGAAATCTAGAACTTGGTGTGGTCAAGAGTACGTGCAAACGATGCTACACAGAATAATCACGTGACTCAGGCGTTGTCCTTGACGTCGCGGTACCGCTTGCAGATCTCGGCAATCATGCCACGAATCTTGCGGGCGGCAGAAAACTTGACGCTGAGGGTGCCGAAGAGCTCGATGGCGAGCTCGAGGTCGTCGATGGCGCGGGTTTCGCGCAGCACGCAGGCCAGACTGTCGGGTTGGGCGGTGGTGGCGTAGATGAGCGAGAGGGTGGCGGTGAAGAGGGAGAGGAAGTTGAGCCAGTTGTAGGCGAAGCGACGCTGCTGGTGCAGGTTGTAGGCGTGGCGGACAGCCATGGCGGCGGCGCTCTCGAGGATCTTGACCCGCTTGGCATCCATGACGGGGAAGAGCGGCGAAGGCCGGTAGATGGAGGCGAGGTGGGTGTAGTAGTTGAAGTCGTACCAGGTACTGCTCAGATGGGGCACCCGGCTATCGACGTCGGGCAGCGGGAAGGGCATGTTGCGGCGCCAGTCGATGAGCTCCTGGTGCAGGGCCGTCAGGACGGACTCGCGCTGGGCGGCCGACAGCTGCAGCTGGGCAGCCTGACGGCTGGCCGAGGACGAGTAGACCTGGCGGGCAATGCGGCTGGCGATCTGGCGCAGGGCCAGAATGTGCAGCGGAACGCACATGATCGACGGCTGCAGCTGGCTCTGCGGCAGGATCTGCTCGGGCGTGATACAGTCGTCGTCGACGGCGGCAAACGGGGTCACGTCAATGTCGTCGTCGTGCAGCGCAAACGGCCGACCGAGCGCGATCGACACGACTCGGTCCATCATGTAGATGGAGAAGAAGATGCGCTTGCGTCGTTCGGCCACGTCGACTGGCAGCTTCTCGTATGTGGCTGCCGTGTGCAGGCCCAGTCCGAGGGCCACGCGCGCCGACATGCCGACGAGAAACCAGGTGTTGGGCCCGAGCTGGTTGAAGAAGGAGTACGACACCTGCAGCGTCAACACCTCGAGCGCGGCCATCTCGTCCAGCGCTAGGGCCTGCTCCGAGTACTGCAGCGCCTTGTTGTAGTACAGCATCGGCTCCGACTCCTCCGTCAGCGAGACGGACGAGAAGGCGGTCGCCCCGATCGCCAACACCATCCAGATGCGGAAGAGCGAGAGCGCCGGCAACGTGGCCGCGGCCGCCTGCGGATCCTCGCGCATCAGCTGCAGCGTCGCCATGAACTCACTGCGCACGATGATTGGGTAGAGCGTGTTGGAGTGCGCAAAGTAAAAGTCCACCAGCACGCCGATGTGCGCGTCGTCACCGATGCCGCCAGCCACCGTCGTGGGCGGCCAGCTGAGCCCGCTGAGAGCCGCGCTGGGCTCGATGATGTCGGTCAGGAACACATCTCCGAAGAGGAGCGGGTACACCGAGATACTCTCGCCGAGGCTGTGCAGCACGGACGAGTTGAAGAGGTCGGACGGCGAGTCGAAGTCGACCAGCTGCGGGTCGCTGCCGCAGACGAGGTCGCCGACCGATCCGTTCTCGCCGCTCATGGCTGTGGTCGTCTGGGTGCCATTGCCGCCGGCAGCCACGGCGCCGGTGCCCATGCCTGCCGTCGGCTCGCTGCTAAAGACAAAGTCGGCCTTGTCGGGCGTCAGCCGGCAGAGGATCATCTGGGTCAGCTTGGCAAAGGAGACGCCCGAGGACGAGCCGACGTGACGCTCGGCGGCAGCCTCGAGCGAGAGTGACTTGAGCTCCTGAGCAAACGACGGTGACTGACCGGCCGGCGGCGGTGGTGGTGGTGGTGGACCCATGCCGGGGGGCGAGCCGCGGTAGGTTTGCGGGGGTGTGGGCACGTGACTTGAGGGTGAGTTCGCGGTGTGCGATGTGTGCGAGTGGGCGTGGGAGCGAGGCCGGCGGCGCAACTGCGGGCTGGCCGGCCCGGGGCCGTAGGGCGACTGCTGCGGCATCTGCAGCTGAGGCTGGGATTGCGGACGCATCATGGAGGCCGGTTCGTCGGTAATGCTGGCCATGGACGAGCCACCGGCCATGGTGATCTCATCATCGGGTCGGCCGGTGCTGCTGGGCGGCGGGGGTCCCAAGAACATGTCACAGGCATCAGCGTCGTTCTGCGCAAGCTCGACCGCGTCGGAGACGGCGGCGTTGGGCAGCGAGGACGACAGGGCCGTCTGACACTGTTGAAGATCTCGATCTCGATCCGGGTCCAGGTCCTGGTCCGGGCCTCGTCCCTGCAACGACGACGGCTCGGACTGGCCGGCCTGCTGGGGGGTGGATGAGGCTGTGGATATATGCTGTTCCAGCACCTGCACGCGGGCTTCCAACGTGCGGACGTATCTGATAGAAGAGCAGAAAGAAGAAAAAGTCAGCCCATGGCGCTCTGGCCGGTCTGCCGGTCGGCTCGTCGGCTCGTCCGCTGCTCACGCTATCGGGTACGACGCCGTCGTCTGGCTCTCATTGTCCAGGAAGCTGCAGCGCACGCGGGCCAGCTGGCAGTTCTTGCAGGCCGGCAGCACGCGGTCGCATCGCTTCTTGCGCTTGTGGCATCGGGCACACGAGGTGCGGGCCTCTGGCGAGAAGGACGAGGCCGACATCGTGACTCGTCGTCAGCACGCTGATGGACCAGCAGACAGGACAGAAAAAGGCGGGGGGTGGTGGGGAGTCTGTGCAATTTGAGCGCGTCTGGCTGGGCGGCACCGTCGAGATAACCGGTCCTGCAGGGATTTGCTAATGGGCAGTCCTGAGTGGCCGACGCACGGTCTTTATCGTCAGCTGCAGGACGCGGGGCGCTGATTGGACAGGGAGTACGACACGTGACGGAAAAGCAGTCATGAATGTACGCATTAGGTAATATTACGTAAGCCACGAAGCACAGATGGAAGATAAGATTTCTGTTCTTATTGTGTTCTTTTTTGTTTCTTTGTCCGAGCTCTGACACATGTTTACATCTCGACGACGGCGACGGCCTTGACCTCGACGACCATGCGCGGGTCCGGCAGCTCGTTGATGCCGATGGTGGCGCGAGCCGGGGCGACAGAGCGGGTGGGGAAGACCTTGTTCCACTCCTCGTTCATGCCGGCGTAGTCGCGCTTCATGTTGACGACGTAGACGACGGTGTCGATGAGGTTCTGGACGCCACCCTTGCCGCCGGTGGCAGCCTTGACGACGGCATCGATGTTCTCGAGCACAGCGGCGGTCTGCTTGCGCACGTCCAGCGTCAATGAGCCGTCCGCATTTTCGGTCACGCCGGGCCACGTGCCATCCGGCTTGACGCAGGCCGTGCCGGCAATGTAGATGGTGCGGTGGGTGCCGGTGGGCGAGAGGCGGGCGTTGGCAAAGATGCTGGCCGGCTCGGGGCCGCTGGGGTTGACAATGTACGCTTCGCCGTTGGGGGCCATTTTGACGGATGGATGTGGTGAGTAGAGGGTGTGTAGGGTGGTTGTAGTGTGTAGGGAAGTAGTGGTAGAGTGAGAACTGCAGTGTTTCGGTTCTGATCTTGTTGGCTTGTTACAAATAGGGCGACAGAAAGGTCCGTCTATCTGGCAGCATCGCTATGTCCGCACAATGCGGCGTCGGTCTTTCCGATTGTCGGCCGTCTGCAGATACGAAAAGGCGCCAAGGAGAGAGCGGAGCTGTCTGGAGCAGGCAGCCAGCCAGCCAGCCAGCCAGCCAGCCAGCGAGTCCGTCTGCAAGCGAGGCAGCAAACCAGCCAACAACGACACCATGGCTGAGGCGCGATACCACTTGATCCGGGACTTTGTCTTCCAGGACGGCACGGTGCTGCCGTCGGTCTCGGTGGCGTACCGGGACAGCGATCCATCGGGGACGCGGACCAAGACAGCGCTGGTGGTGACGCACTTCCGGGGCCGTCTGCCGACGGTGTGCACGTTCTCGTCAGGGCCTCTGACGGCGCTACGTGAGCACCGGGTGATCACGGTGGCGCTGTTCGGCAACGGCGAGTCGGCCGGGCCGTCAAATACGCCGGGCTTTCCGCAGGCGACAGCCGAGTACCGCGACTGCGTGCGGGCACAGCACGACCTGCTGGTGGCCCTGGGTGTGGCCGAGCTCGACGTCGTCATCGGCTTCTCGATGGGTGGCCAGACGGCCTATCACTGGGCGCTGATGCACCCGCAGATGGTCCGACACATTGTCGTGATCTGCTCATCGGCCCGCACCAGCCGCCACAACCACCAGTTCCTCGAAGGTCCACGGGCCGCGCTCGAGAACGCGGCCGACTACGTGCCCATGACGCAGCGCCAGGTCGATACGCCGCCGTGTCGCCGCGGACTGCACGCCTTTGGCAAGGCCTACTCGGCCTGGCTCGCTAGCGCCGACTGGTTCGACCAGGAACTCTACCGCGCACTTGGCTTCGACAGCCTCGCCGCCTGGGACCACGTCTTCACCGGCGCCAACTACGATGGATGGGACCCTGATGACCTGCTCACGCAGCTCGGCATCTGGCAGCGCGGCGATGTCACCGTGCTCGCGGACCCCGTCGACGGCCGGCCCCCGTCACTGCAGGACACCCTGGCCCGCATCCAAACGCCCGTGCTGCTGCTGCCCAGCCGCAGCGACCAGTACTTCCGCTGGGAGGCGGCCGAGCGCGAGTCCCGCTGGCTGCCCCGGGCTACCCTCCAGGTCATCCCGTCGGTCTGGGGACACATGGCTGGCATCGGAGCCAACCCAGTGGACGCGCAGTTTATAGACCAGCAGATCATGGCTTTTCTGGCGGAGAAATAGCGTACACTATGCTGTTTGTGTATGTTCATGTTCATGTTCCAATGCTATTTTGTGTATAGAATGTATTACGTAATCTCAATCGCAAGTAGTCCCCAGCTTCGCCCGTCCCCTCTCGAACAGGGCGGCAGCCAGGATGAGCTGGTCGTCCTCGAAGCGGCGGCCGACAAGCTGCATGCCTACAGGCAGGGGAACGTCTGGGCGGGCGGCGTGGGCAGCGAATCCACAAGGCACGTTGAGGGCGGGATGGCCGGTGACGTTGAACGGGCTGGTGTTGTTGGTGGTGCCGACGGCGTAAGCCATTTTATCGCGGACGGACATGTGGGCGAGGTCGAGTGGCAGCGGCTTGGCGACATCGGGAGCGCAAGGAGTGACGAGCACGTCGACAGTGGCGAGAGCATCGTCATAGGCAGCGCGCAGGGCGAAGACGAGGCGGTGGGCCTTGGCCTCGAGGCCTGGTGGCAGGAGGCGCTGAGAGGCAGCCTGGCTGAGCAGGATGTTGACCGCGGCCGGGTTATTGGCATGCAGGTGATCGTAGGTGGCCTGGTCGGCCGGCCAGCGAGCAGGAGTCGGGTGGATGTGTGGCGAGAGGTACGACAGATGGCCAGAGCAGCGACCCTGCAGCAGCCAGGTCGCCATGGACGGACGGGTGGCCGCATTCCAGATGACGGCACCGTCTGCGTGCATGGGCACAGACACGTCGACGACCTCGGCGCCAGCCGCGGCAAAGCTGGACCGGGCCGCCTTCAAGACAGTGTCGCGGACAGCATCGGTGAGGCCAGGCACCTCGAAGCCCTGGCGGAGGATGCCGACACGGAGAGGCTTGGCGGGTACAGCGGCCGTGGATGTGCGAAAGGCAGCCAGCAGGTCACCGTATGGCTTCACGTGCTCGCGCAGGGGCGACTCTGGCGTCATTCGGGGGTCCAAGCCATCGTAGCCGGCCATGACTTGAAGCAGCGCGGCGATGTCCTCGAGCGAGCCAGCCAACGGGCCCAGATGGTCGATCATCGGCGACATGGACGCTGCTCCAGTGTAGGGCACCAGCCCAAACGTCGGCTTGAGCCCGTAGATGCCGTTGTAGGACGCCGGGATGCGCACAGAGCCGGCCTGATCGGTGCCGATGGCCAGCGGTACCGTCGTCGTGGCAGTCGCGTCCCCCAGAAGAGAATGCGCCGCCACCAGAGCGGCCGATCCGCTGCTGCTCCCGCCGGCCGTGTGCCCGTGCAGCCGTGGGTTGTGCACCGGTCCGCTGTAGGACGTGTAGGACAGCGGCGACGCACACCAGGCCTCACACGTCGAGGTGCCGCGCACGACCACCCCGGCAGCCAGCAGCCGGACGACGGCGGTGGCGTCTACGGGCGCCAGGTCCCAGCGGCCATCGTCGGCAAAGAGAAAGGGCGACGTGCCGATGGTGGTCGGCAGACCGGCCACGGCGATGTTGTCCTTCACGGCCAGCGAGCGGCCCTGCAGCCGGACATTGGAGGCGGCTGTCGTCGGCGCCGCAATCGCGCACCGGTGGCTCCACGCATTGAACGGGTTCTCTTCGACCAGAGGAACGGAAAAGGCTCGGTCGGCCGGCTGTGGCATCAGCGACGGCGGCGTGTAGTCGGGCCCGTCATCTACCTTGGCCATCACGGCCAGAAAGGACTTGAGCACTGCCCGGTAGTCGTCCTGGTCCTGCTGGGGCGCATCGTGCACACCTACGGCTGCCAGCAGGCCGGCATAGTCCGCGTCGGTGAGCGTCGGCCTGGCAGAAGACAGATTAGACTGGGAGCAGTGGGAAAACACAAGGCAGCCACAGGGACAGACGTACTCGACAGCGCCGGGGATCACTACAATGGACATTTCGGAATCAAGTGCTGTGCATGGGAAAGGACCAGCAAAGGTGTGCCCTGCCTACGGCTGCTGTCTGGTTTATGGCTGGAGATTGGACGGGCGGAAAGGCCGATGACAGATAGCCGATGGAATTCATGAACCGCTACTCCGTACTTCTACGCTATTCCTGCCCATTGGCCACCAGGACCCGCCCGCCATCAATGCACAGGTTGATGCCGTCAATGTATGCCTGGGATGTGTCAGCAGACGTGCCTTGGCAGCTGTGTGCAGGAGAGGACAAGAGAAACGTACGCCTGCACGGCTGGCGAGATAGAGCACTGCGCCGGCAATGTCTTCTTCGTTGCCGGCCCGTTTCGCCGGCACCTTGTCGAAGAGGTTGCTGAAGATGTTGCCCTCGGCCCCGACCGGGTTCATGTTGCTGGGCACGACTAGAGCAGCATGTCAGCATCCAGACACGACGACCACGGCATGCACCCGAACCGACTCACATCCCGGGTTGATCCCGGCCACCCGAACGTAGAAGCGGCCGAACTTGGCCGCCAGCAGCCGCACCAGATGGTCTGTCGCCGCCTTGCTGGACGCGTAGCTCGTCAGGTCCACGTTGGTCACGTTGTGCATGCTGGCGCACGAGCTGGTGATGACGATGACGCCGCGGCCATCGCTGCGCCCGGTGCGCCCGTTGCCAAGGTCACGTGCCGCCGCCGCCGCCAGAAGCGGCAGTAGGGCCACCGACAAGAAGTAGTGCGCCGTCGTGTTGACGGCAAACGTGTCGGCCCAATCGCCGTGACGCGACGACCACATGGATGCCTGCAGTTCGGCCAGCGGCGCCGTCAGCACGTCGCAGGCCGTCGGAGGGTCCCGTCGGATGCCCGCGTTCGAGATCAACATGTCCACGTGCTGCTCCAGCCCGCTGATGTGTGCTGCCAGGCCGGCGATCGCCTCCTTGCTCGACACGTCGCAGCCGTAGCCCAGCGCGGAGCCGCCGCTGCCACACGTCTCCGCCAGTGCGTTCAGCTCCGCCACCCGCGCCGCGATGGGCTCCGACGGCAGTGCTACCAGGTATACCTTGGCCCCGTTCGTCACCAGGCCCTGGCCGTGTCAGCTGTCGGCTCTCTCGTCTCTCTTCGCCTGTTACTCACCTTGCAGATCATCAGCCCCAGCCCGCTGCTGCCACCCGTCACCACGGCCACGTGCCCCTTCACCCCAAACAAACTCTCGGTCGTGAGTGAGGCCATGATGCTGTAATCGTCGTCCTGTGATGTGCAAAGTCTGCCGATGCCTCCTCGCGTTCCGTCTTTGCAGTCGCGACCTTGCAGCTTTAGACCCACGATTGCTCCGCTGTCGGCTTGGTCGGATAGGCCGACCGGCTGTGGTCAATCAGCTTCGCTCCGATGCCACTTATGTAGGAGCGATTAGCATCGCTTCTAGCGCCCGATGCACTGATAGGAGTCTCGGCACTATGTCTGCTTGCATCGCAAGTACTCCGTACTCCGTACAGGCGATAAGCCCTACGAGCCGCACACGGACCACTTGCAGTGTTGGAGTTTCTTCAACTTCACTTCAGTCTCGTCATAAATTTTACTCGTTTTTATTGATGACTAATATTTGGTTCTGTATCCCCACAATTTCCCATCTAATGCACACATCCACTCTCCCTCTACTCCTTGTAGTGCTCCTTCGTCCGCTCCTCGGCCGCAAAGAGGCACTCGTCCAGGGCAGCCGCGTCGCGCGGGATCAGCTTGACCTTGAAGTAGCGCGGGATGGCCACCAGGGCGGTCTTGAACTGGTTGTACTCGACGTAGTCGGTGTTGGGCGGCGCCTCCTCGCTGGCCACGATCTTGTAGGACGACAGCAGGCGGACGAGGGCGGTGTAGAGCAGGCGGCTGGCGATGAACTGGCCCGAGCACGAGCGCGAGCCGGTACCGAACGAGAGGTGGCCGAGCCCGTCGATCTCGGCCTCTTTGGGCGGGTTGATGCTGGAGAGCCAGCGCTCGGGGTTGAACTTGTGCGCCTCAGCACCGAAACGGGTGCTGTCATGGTTGCCGGCCTGGGCGTTGATCAGGATCATGGTCTTGGGCGGGATCACCGCGCCGTTCCAGTGCACCTCGGTGACGGTCTTGCGCGGCAGGCTCATGGAGCTGACGGTGTAGAACCGACCGGCCTCCTTGATGATCGCGTTGATGTACGGAATCTTCTCCTCCGTGTAGCTGCTGGCCCAGGCGTCGCGCACATCGGGGTAGTACCGCCGGATGTCGGCATACGCGCGGTCCTGCCAGGCCTGGCCCTCAGGCGTGGCCAGCGAGCCGATGCAGGACGTCAGCGTGCCCGGAATGGTCTCGAAGCCGCCCGAGACGAGCGACAGGCAGATGGACGAGACCTCGACCCCGTTCAGCTTCGTCTCCTGGTCCTTGAGGATGGCAGCCGAGATGCACGGCTTGTCCGTGCCCTCCTTGATCATCGCGCGCACCTTGTCCAGCAGCAGGTTGAGGTAGGCGTCGCGCCGGTCGCGCAGCTCTTTCGACCGCGCGTTCTTCTCGTTGTTGGGAAAATACCGCATGATCGGCACGTAGTCCTGGTAGTTCTCAGACGCGCTGCGCAGCAGCGAGATAGCCGACCCGACCGTCAGAATCTCGCGCAGCAGCTCGTCGTACACCGCGTCCATGCGGATGCCGTAGCAGAGCGTCAGCGTCGTGTTGAGCGCATACCGCTGGATATACGGCCGCACGTCCACCTCGATCGTGCCGTTGCCGCTGTCGCGCTTCATGTCCCGTAGAATGCAGTAGCTCTCGAGGTCGAACATGGGATAGTAGTTGCGCAGAGCCGGCCGGCCCAGAGCCGTGCCCGCCGCCTTGCGCTTCTTCTTGCATGACTCGTCCCATGGTGACGACCCGATCGTGAAGCCCTGCGTGCTGCTGATCACGCCGTGGAACGTGTACAGCTTCGGCCGGTCGATCACCGCGTTCTGGTTGCCCAGCAGCATCTTCTTGCAGTCGTCAAACGAGTTCACCACCACTGCCCGCGTGTTGCCCAGCTTGATCTGGAAGACCGAGTGTCCGTACTGCTTCCACCACTTCTCGCACGTCGTCGCGTGGTCCTCGCCCAGCTTCAGCAGGTGCCCAAACACCGGCACCGCCCCCGGAATCTCCGGCATGCCCTTGATGTGCGGCACATCCGTCGCGTACATCACGTTGTACAGCACGTACGTCAGCACCACCACTGCCACCGCCGTCGCAATTGTGCTGGCCTGCTCATGCTCCTGGAACTGCGTCCAGTAGTTCTTCAACAGGCTCACGGAGAGCGTGTCGAACTTGGCGTCCATCGTGGGCGGGGTGATAAGAGATCAAGGCGGGGAAGAAGAGAGGAGATAATCAAGGAAGACGACTGAGCTGTCGACTTGCAAAAGACAGAGTCGGCTGGCTGCAGACTTATAAGTTGGAAGGAAAGAAAGCAGGGTCTGTTCCGTTCCGCCCAGTCGATTGGCTACTTGGCTGCTCTTGGTCTGGAAGAAGCAAGTTCAAGTCGACCAGAAGTAGTCATCCTGTCCATTCATATCTCTTTTTTTACAAAGAGCCTTTCGCCGCTGTCCGCCGGCCAGTCAGGCCATTCCTGCGAGCAGGCGGGAGCCCCGACCGGTACCGTAGCTCCAGATAAGCGCGCCCGGTCGGTATCTCCGCCACAGTTTGCGCACTGTTCGGACACTGCTTTTCGCCCGACATAAACCGATAAGTGGCTAGACATTACGAGACGCACGTCTGTCGGGACCGTCAGCATACCAACGAGCCCCTCACACAGCAACATCATGTCGTCCTCTACAGAGCTGGTCGTCCTCGTCACGGCCGGGTCAGCAGGACTGGGTGCCGCGGCCGCGCGACTGTTTGCGCGCAACGGCTACCATGTGATTGTCAACTATGCGAACAACAAGGCGCGGGCAGACGCGCTGCTGGCCGAGCTCAACGGCACCGACGGCCAGAAGACGCACGTTGCCATCCAGGCGGACCTGACGTCGCGCACAGCCGTCGAGCGGCTGGCTCGAGAGGCACAGGCGGCCTTTGGCCGTCTGGACGTCGTCTTCTCCAACGGTGGCTGGACTGAGTTCCGCGACACCACCCGGCTCAGCGACAACGTCTTTGATGAGGACTGGGACCGCGCGTTTGTCATGAACGTCAAGTCGCACATCTGGCTGCTGCACGCCGCCGAAGCAGCCCTGGCCGAGCACGAGGGCGCCTTCATCACGACCGCGTCCATGGCCGGTGTCAGCGGCATGGGCAGCTCGTTGGCCTACGCAGCCTGCAAGGCCGCCCAGATCCATATGATCAAGGGGCTGGCCTGCATGGTCGGGCCCAACATTCGCGTCAACACGGTGTCGCCGTCGATGTTGGAGACCGAGTGGGCCGAGCGCTTCTCGCCAGCCCAGAAGAAGGGCTTGCTCGAGAAGAGCAAGCTGAATCGCTTCGTCACAGTAAATGTAGGTGTCTTTACTTTGCTGTGCCCGATCATGTGCGAGCACGTGCCATGGACTAACAGGTACAGGACGTGGCCGACCAGGTCTTGGGACTGGCTAGAAACAGGAGCATGACAGGGGTTAACGTGATATTAGACGCCGGCATCGGCTTGTAGTATGGGTATCAATACGAGTAGTGGTTAGAGGAATAAGTGTTTCTACAGAATAAACATAGGTTAAAAAATAAGAGTCCACATCCGGTTACCTCTAAAGGCCACAGAAGTAGGCTGATTAGTGTATTTTAGTTGATTGGCTAGAGATCGATGCAGCCCTAAAAAGTATACAACCCGATTTCCACCAGGATTATGGTTCTGGAGACCTTTTTTGCCCTATTTTAAAGTAAGCTTTACGGAGTACAATGACGTCCAGTCTTTAAAAAACGGTGGCAGAGCTACTTGCAGCCAATTGAGCCGGTAAAATATGCAGGCTGGGGTAAGAACACCTAAAGAAGGTGCGGAGAACCTGTACTAATGCGAGTAGCGTTTGGAGTCGTTTTCATTGAAGCCTTTCGGTTGCAAGGGTTACGAGCTTGGCTTGACACAAGATTATGGCTGGATAAAGCCTTTGTTCTGTGGTACCAGACACTGAGTATGTAAGAATTTCGCGTATTGCGCCACGATGCAATTACTAAGGCTGGTGTTGCAATGCATTGTACAGATGAGCACTTTAACCGCTTTGAAGGACAAAGCAGCGTCCCAGGTCTTGTAAAACAGGCTCGCGGAACTGTTCTGGAGCTAGGACCTGCCATTGGAAATCAGCTTGTACGATTTGATACAACCAAGGTAGACCGCATCTACGGCGTTGAACCGAACTCCTTTTTCTTTCCTGATCTCAAGGCCAGGATTGCCGACTCCCATCTACAAGACAAATACACAATCGTACCTTGCGGAATACAGGATACTGATATCCTCGAGGATAACGGTATTGTCGCTGAGCACGTCGACACGATTGTGAGCATACAGGTCCTCTGCTCCGTCCCAAATCCGGAAGCAGTTGCCAGAGGCTTGTACAAGCTCCTGAAACCTGGGGGCAAGCATATTTTCTGGGAGCACCATCACAGCCATGACCGCCTTACAAGCATTATTCAGAGCAAGTCTAATGGTTTTTGTGGCCAAAAAGATTAGAATACTTGGACTAATAGCTAACTTGAATAACAGGTGCTTGGAACCCTGCTTGGCGCTTTGCGGTTGGAGGCTGCAATCTCAACCGAAATATGCTTCACATACTGAAACAGGCCGGCGACTGGGTCAATTTTTCGACGATCGAGGGCGATGAGGAGGAATGGAGCATTCTGCCTCACATTTGGGGAGAGTTGATCAAGAGCAGTTGAAAGCTTAGTGCCATGGCGACCCGGCATTTTTATTTTGGGAAGCGAAACAGTCTCGGCAGAGCACATTGGCGCCAGCCGACTGGGAGGCTACGGAAACACTACTTACTGAGAAGCTAGCTATACTATTAAGATTTTGTCCTTTATGACTGCCTGCAAGTACATGGATAGAGGATATAGCCTCCGAAAGCGACAGCAAAGGAAGCCGAGAAGCAGTGCTTACACAGTGCATACGCTGCGACTGTGTGAACCGGGGAACACGATCGAGACGCGTACATGACTGAAAATCCCGAATGACAGCTTAACTGTCAGGGGCATTCAGGGCCGAGTCCAGAAATGTGTGTATTGTTCTCTAATTTATGTGCCGACACTAATAGAATGAGACTATCAACCCCAAAAGTGATAACGTTGCTGAAAACAAGAGACCTTTGGTTGCCGGGTTTATGAAGATCTGACGGTCTAGATAGTAATCGAGAAAGGAGCCACGTTCGGATCCAAGGCCTTCCATATAAAAGGCATGCCCTGGCTAAGGCCATTTTCATCAAAGCCCCTGGCCTGAAGTTGACTGCTGAACTTCTTCATTTTCATCATAAACACGTCATTTGCAGCTCGTGTTTCCTCATTCATCAGAGCCAGCATGGACTGGTCGTCAAACATGTGAATAAGACTGCGCTTTGTTCCCACAAAAGTCGGTCGTGAAAAGAGTGAGACGACGATTAGCTGTTCAATTACCTTCTCAAGCGGAGGCAGAAAATCTACAATGTTGGTATTGTTGCGCTTCTCTGTCGGTAACGCGCTGTAGAGAGATGTTGGGCTAATTGGCAAAGTACTGGAGACCTGCAAAAGCTCGTTGGTGTTTACGGCATGATGAGCCGAGGATACTAAGTGAGCCTTGACACAATCAGTTCATCAAGTCATCCTGTGAAGTGCTTCCGTGTGGTCTTACCACATGCGTGAGAACATCCACGAGAGAGTCGATAGTCTTGATCTCTGATGGAAAGTCGATAACTTGTGCATCGCCCATGCACTCAGCCACCCAAGCTTGAATCTCCGCATCTGCAGCAACTTGACCGTTCGAGGAGTAGTATGATTTGACGAAGGAAGACATGAACTGTCGAGTAGCGGTGTATACGATACGTGCATCCTCATGGAATGGGAAGTGTTCAATAGGTGGCCCTTGACAGGGACCGATGAGTCCGCGGGACTTGAGATCGGTCTCAAAGTAGTTTGACTGGAAGCGCCCTGCCTTGCTGCTATATAGACGGTTTGTATAATTGTTCGCTTCTGAGCCCGTGAAGGGGAAAACGAGATCAACGGCCCCACCAGAGAAGAACAAGAACCCCTGTTCGAAAATGCGATTAGTATCAATTTCAACCCCAGCACTGAAATTAGTTTCGAACCTCGGCAAGAAGGGGCAAAGAGTACGCCTCGTATGTGACTGAAGGAAGTTGCGTCAGCAGCTGCAGCTTCACCGTTGACCGAAGATGGAGGTAGCTCACGTCGGTTCAGGACAGCAAAGAGCGGATGTTCCCGGCTGAGTGTACGGATTGCCGCAGCCCACACAATTTGCATGACAAAGTGTGTTGCGGCAAGATGGTTCCATTGTGAGAACCAGAAGTCGTTCACATTGAACATGATCTTTGCCAGCAGCCAGTCATTGGTGCTATCGAGTGGTGTGTATACCAAGTTCGAACCGACATTAGTGCGGATCGCCAGGGGGAGAAATTTACCCGAGGAAGCATCAATGTAAAAGTATGCTTCACAGGCGGCAGAGTAACGGCCGGTAGACTCTAGACCCAACTGGTCCCGATAGTCGGCGTAGAACAGCCGGCCTTCTAGATAAAGCTGTTCTATGCTCATACCAGTGATTGCGTTGGTGATACTGTCATCGACTGCGAACGGGAGACTTTCTGACCCGAAGCGTAGTCTCCGGACTTGGTATGGGCTACTCGATAAACGCTGCATCGAGAACAGAAGATCCTGCGTGTAATTTGTCAAAATGCCCAAGTCAGTTCCATTGGGCAACGAGTTGAGCCATTCTCCGGTGTAAAGCTTGACGTAGTCCTCTAACGTTTGCAGGCCACTATACTATCGACGTTGTCAGTGTTCGGCCACCAGAGGGGTGTCTCGTTTTGTTCAGCCCGGGTGAACTCACGTTGGCGGCGTCCGTAATGGCCTGCTTGCCATCAGCCTTAGCTGCCAAGAGCGGAAGCGTTATATCCGTTGTCATGTTTGCCACATCCAGAGCATTTTTCGCAACACCAAGTTCTCCACCCGGATACAGTGGTCCACCTGTACTGAGCGTCGTGTATATGAAATTTTCCCGGACGGTGTGGAGGGCCTCCGCCCTGGCTGTCGAGTTCGCGGATTGTTGTGTAATGCGATAGGGCTCATCAACCAGCGGGCTCAGTAATTGCTTAAGAAGAAGAGCTCCATTTTCTGACGCAACGGGAATGCTTTTTTCAAAGTTTTCCACCAACGTGTTCAACATAACATCGACAAAATCAGTGGCAGAACGGCGATGCTCTTTTGTCGACAACGGAACAGCTGAGGCCGAAGCAACGACGGCCTGCAAGAGAAGTAATACCCAGAAGGCCATAATGTCGGGCCACAACAATTTTCAACGCTTGCTCGCCGGGGATGGTCCACCACCGACCAAGCATTGCGACCTCTGTCCATCCCCTTCTTATATATGGCCCGTAGTCTGGTGAAACGGGGCACGAATAATCCTTCGCGGAAGCTGAACTCAGCTGCTGGTGGGTCTAAGGATTATCCCAATGGACCCTGCAGGAGCGCAAATTATCACAAAAAATCCCACACGTGCTACTCGAATCGTGCCACCTATACTAGCATAGTCTACACATCTCGCACAAAGCCGGTCAAAATCCAATTCCGGCCAAATGCAAGGGAGGCGGACTTCTCGTCCTAGGCCCTCTTCTGACTGTTGTGCCCACTAGGATCGCGAACTTGATTGAGTAACTACTTCCTTCGTCCCAATATTGGACAACTGTTCAGGCTATTTCCGGTTTGCGACAGTGTTGGCAGCAAGGCCCAATCGTATGCACTCATGATGCAAGCCACATTTCTTATTTTGGCCGGATATACGGAGGCGTTCATTATACCCTGCCCTCTCTTTTTTCTTGTATTTCAGTTGGGTATCTTTCGTAGACGGCTCACATAAATTTGCGTGTTTGTGACTATCCCTACTCTTACCTGCAAGCAACGTATAAAGTGTCTTCCTTTCCAGGCATATGCCATAAATGACAAAATTTGTGGACCTGGGGGGGGTTTATCGGGTTGCACCTTACGTATGTCGGCTTAGCTTAACAAATCCTACGTCGTATGGAGTACCGAGTACACTTCCCTCTCCGTAGGATCGGAATTTCAGGGCTGACACTGCAATTAGATTGGCACTTGCTTGCAGTATCCACCGACTCCTTCAACCTAGTCTACTCCGTACTCCGCTCATGTATACTACTAGGTCTTACGGAGTATGTTCTACGTCATATGAAACAGCCCTGTATCGTATTACTCGTTGGCTGTTGGCCTTGGGTGATTTTCACGACCCTGAAACTATTTATGAGTACGTCCACTCAGGTGGAGATTATGTGTTTTACAGAACGCCATTTTAATGATGTAAAACAGCCATATGCAATTATCGTGTGAAAAGCGATATATGTGGGTCTACGGAGAATAAGAAATATCAATGGACTGTTGAAGATTGCTGACTGGTTGCGAATATGGTTTGAAAACGCTCCGATACAAAGCGGGAGAGGAGAAGAGTGAGCGGAGAGGTGACATAGGAAAGACAGACTGGCAAGTCTGTATGGGTTGTTTGATGCGTTAAGTGCTGTACATTATGCTGGTACATTGTTTTCGCTATCGGCTGAAAACAGCTTCGGATTTAAATTGCTAGGCACAATACATGAATAATTTTTTAAAAAGGATTTGTCAACTACAACACGACATTGAACGCTTCAATTCTTGGGGTTGTTGCACCCGAAGAGGCTGTAAGAGTATCGAAGGCCAGGATTGATATAAATTCAATGGAGGTGCTTTAAATTCTGAAGCGCAGCCTGGCGCCCCTCCCACTAAGTGATTGCGATTAGTTGGGCTTGTTGAACAAGCCTTTGCCTCCCGAGGGCCTTAGCCCCCTCTTATATTGGGCTATTTGAGGGCAACAGTCTGTGTGCACGGATGACTAAGGTTTCCCCCCCCCCCCCGAGCGATAAGGATTTGGCCGGACAAATAAACGTAATTAACTGTTGCACGTGACCTTGTGGGTCACGGTGCAGACTTTTCACTGCCGCAGTGCATCCACTAGCTTTAGCTTCCTTTTAAAAAAAAAATCCCATGCTTTTCTTCCTAGAGGTCATGAGCCCTCTTAATCCGCATTTGTTTTTCATCAAAAGCATCATAATTTTAACTTCATAAGCTTCTCCGACATCGTCGGCTTCGTTGAAGCTTTTTCCCGGTCATTTTGGCCAGAAATTACCTCATTTGTGCCCTTTTTGCCCATTTGCGGCAACCTGCAGCTTTGTTTTACATCCTTGCATCCTTTTATTTAGAGCCTCTTTTAAGCGTTATTTATTACCTATTAGTCTTTCTTATCGCTAACCTTCTCTAGGCAGCGTCTTCTTGCTGTGCAGGATTATTTCCTTTAACTATTTTAATTAAAAACGTCTAGACTTTAGTCTAAGGCGAAGATTATTTTCTTTCACCCATTTTTTACCACCTTTTATTAGTAAGGCTGTTCTTTTTAGTGATTATTATTGTAAGGGGGTGGTGTGCAATGCGTGGTCACGAAGGCTTAACCTGTTTGTACTGTTGTATTAAGACTTCAACTTAACGAACTATAGGAGACTGGTAGGCGAAGGCCTGCCAGCTAATATATACGTGGCTGGAAGATGCGGTGTAGCGCAAACCCAGTGGGGGCGTGGCACAGCTAAGTGGCTGTGCTAGTCCCGTGCAACGTGTCAAGATAGTTCGTTAAGTCCGTCGCTTGGTAAGCGACTGGTTGCCGAACCGGTGCGTAGGGACGCGTGTGTAGAATACCCTTACAATTATAGAGTACACTACTTCTCTAGGGTCGGTAATGCACCTCCCTATGCTAGATAATACTGATTTTAGCCTTTAGAATAACTCTTCTATCGATCTTAAATCAACTTAATGTAGAGGACTTTATTTAAGGGCTAGTGCCACTACTAGTCGTAGTAACCGACGTTCTTAACGTTAAAACAAATAACTTTAAGGTAGCTTATAAGACTTAGAGACTTTGTTAAAACGTAGTAAAGAACTATATCGCTGTTACTATAGATTATATAAAGCATACGCTGCGCATATTCGGCTACTAGCTAAGGGCTCTTCCTTATATTGATTACCTAACCGTCTATGCCTGTTTTTATAAGATAAGCGAAGTCGTTCTTACTAACTTTAATGTTGAATTTGTAGAGCTAAAGATGTTGTCTTTTAATACCCTTACATCCTACCTTAACAGGTTTGCAGACCTAGCGTAGCAACTATTAGTTACGCTATATATAGTTATAAAGGCCTATAAGCATAGTATTCTATATAGCTAATTCGAGTCTACCTTCCCGATTTGCGTTGCTTAGTAAAAGCTAAACTTGCAGAATTAGCGTCTTAAGTATGCCGCTTTGCTTTGTAAATTGTCTGCGCTTTATTGCTAGATAAAGCTTATAAAGACCTTAATGTTAATAGTAAGCGTTAATTAGCAACGTAAAGGATAGAATAATAATAACGGTAGTAGCTTTAGCTATTATAATAATAATAATAATAATAATAATAGAAGGAAAAAGCTAACTTTATAAAAGCTTTTTACATAACGTTAGTCTTGTTTTTAGACACGTTTTCTTATACACTTTATATATAACTGCTGTTGTTTTTAGCACTCTTCCTAGTAAAGCTTTTATTATATATACTCTTTTTATTATTTAAATAGTAAAGCTAGCTATTTTTAGCTTTACCTAAAGCTTTATAGAAACTTTAGTTAAAATTAGTTATCTTTAATAGTAGTAGTTAAGGCTAGCATAAATATCTTTAATAATAATACTAGCATTAGCACTAACCTTTCTAGCGCTTTGTTTAGTAAACCTATTAAAGAGCTTCTTTACCTTAGTTTTAGTAGTATCTCTTTTTTTACTACTACTTTTACGCTTAGAATGTTAGTTATAAATAAGATTATACTTAACTTTAAAGCTTTATACTATACCTTTAATTTAGCCTACTAGTTTACTTAGATTTATAAGCTTAATAACTTAATTTATAACTTTACTATAGCTAGAGTTTTTATTACTACTAAATAGGGCAGTCTTATTACCTTTTAATGCTTTTAAAAGAACAGTTTAGTTTTATATATTACGCTTAAATTTATACTTTTTACTCTTTTTGCGCTATATAACCTTCTCTCTGCTAACTCTTTACTTAAGAAGGGTATTTATTATAATACATTTAATAGCGCTAATATACTAGTTAGTAATAATCGCTTAGTTAAGTACACTATACTAACTAACAAATATAATGTAAATTAGTTAACCCTTGTACTTAATATAATAACGCTTTTTATAGCCTATTCTATAGCTACTATTAACTATTACGCTATATATAAAAGACTTCTTTATACCTCTTATAACGTTATTAAATTAGCTTATTACTAGGCTAGCATTACTCTTTTTAGCCGCTATAATACATACTATAAAACCTATTATTTAGCTAAGTCTACTAAGATTATTAATTACCGCTCTCTTATAAAGCTAACTACGCCTAGTTAGCTTATTTAAATAGATATAATTAAAGTCGAACCTAGGTATATAGGTTTTTACTATTTACTTTATTTTATTAATGTCTTTTTAAGTTATTACTAGCTTAGCTTTATAACTTCTAAGGCTAATATCTATAATGCTTTTTATTGCTTTATAGCTTACTTTAAGACGTAGGCTAGCTTAAAAATTTAAGCAATTAAGTATAACAAAGGCATAAAGTTTTAGCTTATAGCTTAGCTTTTTTAGACTTCTATAAAGGGTTAGTATATAATGCGTAGTTATAAAGGCTTAACCGGTTTATACTATTGTATTAAGACTTTTTATACTATTGTATTAAGACTTTAACTTAATAAACTATAGAAGACTAGTAAGTAAAGGCCTGCTAGCTAATATATACATAGCTAGAAGATGCGGTGTAGCGCAACCCCTAGTAAGGCGTAGCATAGCTAAGTAGCTATGCTAGTCCTATACAACGTATTAAGATAATTCGTTAAGTCCGTCGCTTAGTAAGCAACTAGTTGCCGAACCGGTGCGTAGGGACGCGTATATAGAATACCCTTACACTATCCCCCTTCTTCTTAGGTAACGCCCCTATTAGCCTAAAGGTGTATACGCGGTAGCTACTTGCTTATTAAAAAGCCTCCTCTTATAAAGTTAGGAAAAAGAGTTGAGCGCTCTAGGTTATTAGCTATCGCCGAGCGGTCGCGGACCGCTTGCTTATGCGACTGCATTTAGGTAACGTAGAAGCGTATACGTACTACTTAGTCTATAGCGGCAGTAAACGCTGGATCCTGCCTAATGCATAGGTTGTTCTATTTGT